CCCACCTCAGTACCCATTTTACTAATTCTGTGTCTAATGACACTGAGAAGCACCTCAACATACTGAACTTGTGATAGAGGGGATCATGATAGGATGAAGCATTTCACGCAAAACAGGCTAGACATTTTAACGGCGGTAAATTACATGACGTTTCTCTGAATAGTGCACCAATTTAATAAAAAAAAAACAACCCTGTTTTCTCTGTCCAGTTTATGTGACAGGTTAAACATGTTATGCTTGATGGACCCTGTCAAGGATGGAGGAAAAAAAAAAAAAAAAAAACAAAAACAAAACAACAACTAATCAGTGCTCAATAAAAGAGAGACTTAACTGAATAAAAATAATAAAAAAAGACAAACTTGAATGTGGCTCCTCTGAATGCTTAAGTGATGTCTTCAAATCTTCATCATGCCACTTAAAAGTATTCTGTTTTTATATTTAAATAAGTTTGTGTGACAGGCTGGAAAGCAAAGCTCAAGGACAGATTAATTATATTTTTCTTAAAAATAATGTTTTTACATTAAATTGATAAATTAATGTAGAAACAAACATATTGGAGCGTGGCAAAGACTTTAGGTTAAAATTTATCTTTGTTATATTTTAGATTATTTATTTCAGATTACATTATTGTATACGTACATGTACACTATATGGCCATAAAGTATGTGGAAACTGACCATTGTTGGACAATCTCACAATCTTCTAAAACCATGGGCATTAATATGGAGTTGGCCCCCTTTGTGGCTACAACAGCTTCCACTCTTCTGGGAAGATTTCCACAAGATTTTGGAGTGCGTCTGTGGGAATCTGTGCCCATTCAGTCAAAAGAGCATTTGTGAGGTCAGACACTGATGTTGGACAAGCGAACCTGGATCGCAGTCTACATTTCAGTTCATCCTGAAACTGTTCAGTGGGGTTGAGGTCAGGGCTCTGTGCAGGCCACTGGAGTTCCTCCACACCATCTCATCAAATCATGCCTTGCTTTGTGCACAGGGGCTCAATCATGCTGGAACAGGAAAGGGACTTGTTCAAAGCATATCACTGCTGTCAGAACAAAACCTTGAATCTCCATTTTTGTTGTTTTTCAGTTTTTGACATTATGTGAAAATGCCTGTTGGCCTTTACATTGTGTGTAAATTTCATGAAGAATGGACCAAAAGAAACGACCCAAAATTACTTGGAAAAAATTCTGGTTCCACTAACTTACATTAAAAGTAAAGTATATTTTTTCTTCCCCTGTAAAGTTATTATTTTGGAGATATTAAGTTTTGTTCCGACAACAGTGATATAATTGTCTAAAATGTCTTTGTTTGCTGTAGCATTAACATCACCCTTCACTGGAACTAAGGGGCCTGAAAAACAGCCCCAGCTCACCATCCCTCCGCCACCAAACTTTACTGTTGGCACTGTGCGTTCTGGTAGGTAATGTTCTCCTGGCATCCACCAAACCCAGACTTCAGTTTGTGAAGCGTGATTCGTCACTCCAGAGAATGTTTCAACTACTCCAGAGTCCAGTGATGGCAGCGCTTTACTCCAAACCATCTGATGCTCAGCATTGTGCATCACTATGTGCAGCTGCTCAGCCATGAAAACCCATTTCATTCTTGTGCTGATGTTGCTTCCAGAGGCCGTTTGGAACTCTGTAGTGAGTGATAATGATTTTTTATGCGCTTCAGCACTCGGCGGTTCCACTCTGTGAGTTTACTCTTGGATGTTTCCATTTCACAACAATATCACTTACAGTTGTCAGGGGCAGATCTAACAGGACAGAAATGTCACAAACTGGCTTATAACCAAGGCGGCATCCTGTGACAGCACCACGTTGAGTCACTGAGCTTATCAGTATGACCCTCTACTGCCAGTGTTTGTCTATTGAGGCTGCAAGGCTATGTGCTTGATTTTATACACCTGCTAGCAAAGAATGTGGCTGAAACACCTGAACTCAGTAAGTAGGAGTAGTGTCCACATACTTTTGGCCATATACTCTACACATGTAAAATGCCCATCTTCCTAAATTAAATAAAGATGTACTACTTTTATTTACATTTTTTTATAAACAGTGTTAATGATGAACTTTGAATGAATGTATTTAAAAGTGAGATACAAATATTAGCAGATTTTCTCTCATATGCAAGGCAAAGAATGTTCTGGACTCCTGGAATGACTCAAGTTTAGTGATGCTTATATAGTGGCAGTTTATTCTAAGGTGGATTATTTTGCTGCTGGAGTTTGAATGGTGTAAAAAAACAAAACGTGAGAAAGTTTTCAGAACAACAATTTCTAGTATGAATATTCCTTCCAATGTTTTACATTAAAACATACAGCATGTGCTTTCAGCAATGAGGTCGAAGACAACAAAGAATGAAAGAAAAATGTTTAAACGGAATGATTTTATTATACATTTTGAATCGCCTCTACTAAATGTTCCAGAAAGACTTTAGTGATGCTGTTCAACCTCAGCAGTGCTATATGTTTATATTTCAATGTACTAATTAATTTTTTTTTAGAATTGAGTAATGAGATTCATTCATACTAACATTCATACCGTCCTTTATTATTTGCTGTGTACTTATTTATATGAATGATCATACTTTTTTTGCAGTGGTCAAACCATCAAAGGTGCTTCAATGTGTCACTCTTTACATGGCACTAATTCAAATATTAAAAAAACTGATACATTTGATAGGTTTTTATGTATATATATATATATATATATATGTGTGTGTGTGTGTGTGTGTATTGTAACTTAACCTCTTAAATCCTAACCTTTTTCAGTTATTAACCTAAGGACTTATTATTTAGTAACTACTACAAAACTAACATGTAAGTTATGTAATTACACCTATATAGTCAGTTACATATACATGAGCATCTATCTTTAAGCTGCATTTAGAAAGAACATAAGAACATAAGCGTAATCCTATAGCAAAATGGTACAGATTACAGATGTACTTAACCCTTGTGTGGTGCTGATGTGTTACTCAGTGGTCCGGTGGACCCACCGCATTATTGTTTTTAACCCAATACAGTCATAACAATTCATGTAAAAATACCAGATGTTTAAAATATCACAAGTGTCCAGTGTAGGGTTCTCCTTTAGCAGCTGTAGCCAGTCAGCAGCCTGTCCATGTTGTCTACCTTCACACACACACACACACACACACACACACACACACACACACACACACACACACACACACACACACACACATCGCTGCTGTCGGAAGAAAAACTTGCATCTCAATTTTTGTCGTTTTTCAGATGTTGACATAATTTGAAAATGCCTGTTGCTCTTTACATTGTATGTAAATTTCATGATGAATGGACCAAAAGAAACGACCCAAATTGCCTGGAAAAAAGTCTGGTTCCATTGACTTACATTAAAAGTAAAGTATGTTTTGTCCTTCTCCTGTAAAGTTACCATGTTGGAGATACAAGGTTTTCTTCCAACAACAGCGATATACAAACACATACACGCACAGACACACACACACACACACACACTAACAGTGGGCCATGTAGGAGGAGAACAGAGTGAAGGACACAGCACCTCCACACTTTTACTCCCTGTGGGTTCAGCCCAACACCACGTGTAATATAAATGTGTGGGGGGTGAACAGAGTTGAAGGCTTTACTGTAAAAATTACAAGGTCATACTGTTCATTTCAAATTCTTACATCCTTGGCATGAAGACACACAATTTGAACTAAACTTAAATAATAATAAAAATAAATCTTTTTTCATTTTGACTGCACTGCAGAAGGTTCATTCAGATTTTGCATTCTAATATTTCTGTGAAAGTATTTGTTTAGGAATACAGACAGTATTTGATGTGTCTCATCAACATTGGATGGTTTGTTTATGTTGTTTCCAGTATAACTTTGTTTTAAATTGTGTTAAATTTGCAGTATTATTTCTTCACATCCTGTAAAATGTATTTCAAGTGCAATAAATGGCAGAACAGATTCTCTAAGGCAAAGTAATTAAAATGATAGGTCAGTGAAAAATCAGATTTCCACAATTTTTCCCAAATAAAGACATGTTTGGAGTCTGAAGTTTGCTTCTTTATTTTTGCAGCTACCAAGTAATGGAATTTATACTCCAAGCCAATACCAGCTTTGTTTAAACTGCATGCCTTAAATCATTCCTGGCTTCAACCACATGGAGTTAAAGGGGAACGCCCCCGATTTTTCAAAAAATTCTACATAATTAAATGGTTAAGATGTAAACAGAGTCATTCAGAGTGGTTTGGTGTGAAACACTCTGTTCTAGAGAAACTTAGAGTCAGAATTGTTCACAGTGGTGGTGATAGGAACCAGACGTCCACCTCTAAAAGCTCCCTCACAGAAAGTTACTACATGAAATGGTTATAAATTCACTGCCTGATGTCTGAGACAGTGTATGATAGTGGTTTTGTGACAAATTTCTGGCATAAAATGTACTTTAACATTTTTTTAATCAGTTCATGGTGGAGGGATATATGCAGGGTGTTGTGAGGCAAAATTCAGGTTTATGACGGACCATCATCTACATTCCATATAAACTCAGAAGACTCGTGTAGGTTCACTGGTGGTTCTGGATAGTAAATAAAATGTCTATATTTGTGTTGTAGTCATGGTAAACCCCTGGTTCCCATCACCACCACTGTAAAGAAATCTGAGTCTCTACAATCAACCATTTCACACCAAACCACTCTGAATGACTCTGTTTACATCTCAAAGTCAGAATTATTCAGAATTTTGGATAAATTGTGGAATTCCTCTTCAAGTTATTTCAATAATCATTATACTATTTTTCCCAAGGCTAACAGTTATACATGCACAAAAAAATCACTTCAATTACCTACAAAGTGTTCTATTCCTCAACAATCAGTTTAAAAGTACATACTTTACTTTTAGGTGTTCCTAAAACATTGCCTGACACACATGATTCTGACCATGCCGAGAAAGAAGGGCACAACGCAGCACGTAAGAACATCTTTATTGGGTATGTAAGCATTTATTCCAGTTCCGAATTCACATATTTAACCAAGCATGGAAAACGGCAATGAGAAAAGCATGGCAAATTAGACTGAAAGTGACGTTAAATAAAGATAATGAACAGACAACGTTTGAACAAGCTGGGAGAAGCGTTTACACTTATTTACATGAACGAATCAGAATGATCACAGACAGGAGCCAATGGACAACGTCAAGAAGAGTGAGGTAACTGGAATTCAATAATGCCTGAAAATGAATCTAAAATTCACATGACCTGTTGAAATGTTAATACGATTTAAGACAGTTCCATACAGTATGGTTTTGATTATCAGAGATAAAAATAAATCTAAAACAAAATGAAATATAAAGGATAGAAAAAAACAACAGTAAAACACTGCAATATATTGTTTTCCGGAGTCCCAAATTTACACATTAAAAAAGTCGATCAACTCCAAGACCAGTTGGGATGCTGTTGCATTAAGTTCTGGAGAAATCTTCTGTTCAGACAGAAACAGCTCCCAACCACGTTTACAATATTTAAATAAGATTAAATTAACTAAAAAGGGACCCGCTGTATACATCGAAGCTTAAAGAATTATAATACACATGTATGTTAAGAGAGAAGAAACTGTAGCCTTCCTAACAGAACGTTGTTGGTTGCACAGATAAGAATTCTCAGGTCAAGGGCGAAAACCCTTTAGCCTAAACAATGCCTCTTTAAGAAAAATGTTAAAAATCTTTCAGCCCATGTGTGTTCCCTGTCTGTAATGCATTTGGAACAGCCTTTGGGGTCTGGCCAGTTTATGAAGCCAGAGCCAGTTTACGCAAGTCACACATTAAGCAAAGACGTATGGAGAGGTGGTCTACAACACTACATTCCATAATCTAGTACGCTGAGATTAGACCTTACAAGCCCCAACTGCGTCTCTGTTCAAAAGAGTTGCTGTACCAATTACTTATCAAGTGACGTAACATCGAACACCTGTTGCAACATATCCCTATGACTTTCTGGCTAAATCGTTGTACAGGTCCAGCACATAGTATGGCTAGAATTTCATCAAGACGGTCTTGATCTCACAGTTAGTTGAAAAATCATCTTATTCTGGATGCACGGAAAGACCCTTTTCTCTCTGCAGGAGTCCTGCCTGGCATCTCTCGGTGCATCATTTTGGTAACATTTTGACGTAACAGTTTTTAGAATGCTAACTTGGCTACTGCCACTGACCCACCAATTCTTTCACCGGCAGCCAAGCATATTACTGCCTTGCTGACTAAAATCATCCCACAGTAACATACCATTTGACCAGTCAAAAGCAAGGAACCTCCAGACTGGAATACATATTTCTATTCTAAGCCAATCACAATAAATGCAACAGATGCTATCGTGCAAACTATGGTATTGGCACTGCCGTTGCTATCTAAGTAACAGAGCCTCCTCTACAGTCTGAAACCTGGCTGTGAAATAAAGAATACATGGAGATACCAGACTGACCGGACTAATTTTGCATCAATGTAGACCCAGGGAAATATCTTAAAATCCTGGATCTTTGTGTCCTGTCACATTGTCCCCACCATCTGGATTAAAGCACCATAGTGTGGATTGATCCACAATGTTGTATATTAAGAAATCTCACCAACTTGGCCACCTTGGGCCCAATGTGGCTGTCCACTAACATCTGAAAATATATTTCAAAACACCATTGCAAATGAGATGACGCCAACGTTGTCAGAAAGGCAGTTTGTTCTTAAATAATGTTCTTGTTGTTGATGCTCTTGTTTGATTCTAGTAGACAACGCAGCACACATGGAATCTCCAAAGCAAGCACAAAGGTATTTAAGACACTGATGCTACAGACTTTGCAATGAATGGCAGATTGCAACATGTTTATGATTAGTGCTTTGCTCTGTGGGTGCCATGGCTGTAGGTTGATGAATGCCGCTTCCATTTTAAGCACTACTGAAGCTCTAAGATCCATTTACAAAATTTAGCACCATTCATGCCGCTGGGCGTTCACGTCAAGTTTGAAGGTCTTGAATACTGCCAGGGCCGCAATTCAAATAGCACCTTGTCACGATGGAGAGGTAGACACACCTCTCGGAGGGAGACGCACCCACAGGACTGGCACACTCGCACAGTAAAGACGTGCCCTGTTTCTCGTAAGACACGCCCAGTCTGAGTATCAGACACTTGCTTGTTAAACACTCCTCCTCCCGTTTGCCTGAGAAAAGCCACTAGACCGCCATGCAGGCGTGTCCAGTGCACACAGGACGTGGCGTAGGTGATGTAAAGAGAACTATCTTCACGGATCTGTGACACGCACACATGCACACGCACACAAACTACTCTAAAGAATCATCTCCCTGACTGGTCACATTAAAATGCGCACACACACACACACACACAAAATCACGTATGCATACTTCCCTGTCTGATACTGTGTTAAAATCACACACACTCGATTGACAGTACCCCTGAAAAGCCTTCCATAAAGACCCACACAATATGTAATCATTATCTAATATAATCAATTTCCTTCTGTCTCCTATTGCACTTTCAGCATTACTGAAATTGTTACTGTATAAAAGCTCAGGAATAAAGAATAAGTACATATATATATATATAAATATAATTTTTCCCACTTATCTTAATTCCTCTTTAAAATAGATCATAGTTCCTTGATACAAGCATTACAATAACTTACTATAATATTTGACAAAGAGAGAGCAAAAGGAAGAGAGAGAGAGAGAGAGAGAGAACGAGAGAGAAAGAGAAAGAGAGAGAGAGAGAGTTTGTCAGTTTCTCCCTGGCCCTGGATGTCCTCTAATCTATGATGCCTGGATCGTGTTTTAGAGTTTGCTCTCACTGGACATCCACGGCTGGAAGGGCAATATTTCCTCTCCACAGTCTTTAGTGCTAAATCCCCCAAAAGCCCCGCCCACTCCATCTCGTCCCGCGTCTGCAGTCCAATCAGTGGCTGAATACTGAAGTGGGAGGGACATGGGCCGCATCAACTGGATATCGTGCGTGAGGAAGTGTGGTGTCGATGACTGTGTTGTTGCCAACAAGCACACACACTACAGAAAACACACAGGTCCAACCTCCAGATGGTAGCGTGACGACAGTGTGGTTTCAGGCAGATTGGCGATGTGTTTGACAGGGAGCAGTGAGGCGTCCGTCACCTTGAAAAGGAAGACTGCGTGCTGCCAGTGTCCGTCCCGTTGCTGTACACAGAAACCAACAAACGAGGCGAACAATTAAAAGAGCAGTCAAGGTGCAGTGCAAATCCAGCCAGTCAAAATGTTAGAGCTAACTAGGGACACACATACATATATATGTGTATGTGTGATTTATTAGACCATGTTCTTTGCATTACAAATAAAAGCAGTAAAAAGCTGAGAAATTGCATTACTAATTAGTAGATAAATCATCAGACATAGCCATATTTTTAACTGTTAAGCCACTTTCATATGTACTCCTAGATCAGATGCATCTTGAACATATGCGACCATAATGAATTTGAATTCATGTGCACTGTCATCATCTGGTGCCATATGTGGTGTATGTGACGTTGATTTTGGAAGTCTGGTAATACTACTGAGAAAAACAGATCACTTACAAATACTAATGTGAAATATTAAGGCGAAAAGATCGGATCTGACAAAAAAAAACATAAATGAGCAAAAAGGCTCAGAAAAAGAATGTAGTCTTAGGCATGAGTATTCTCACCCAGCAGGTGTCTTCCAATACATCCGGCTCAAGGGTCTGTCCGTTCCATGCCTTGAACCTCACAGCATTTGGTGAAGGGGGCTGAGTCTGGGCAGAGCTCCAGATGGAGGCGTTAAGGCAGTGGATGGTGATGCGTTGCTCCGCCCCTGAGCTCAGCAAATGCAGGAAGCTCATCTGGATACGCCCAACACTGAACTCCAGCTAAAAATCAATCATAGGGCAACATAAACTTTTACCAGCCATCAAAGAACAGTACTGATGATGCCAGCACACACAGGAGATCCTCTCTGAGAAAACTATTAAGAAGAATTAATATGCATTGAAAAAGGGCTTTGGATTGGACAATACAGGGTTAAATGGCACAAATCTGTAATCAGGTCAGGGTTCATGTATGTAATATTTCCTAGAAAGGCAGCATGTGAGGAACATGTATAAGTAATTTACCCCAGATTGAACATTTACATTAGATGCTATTACATTAGATTAATATGTTATAGCCATTAGGGTAAATTGTGCTAACGTAGCTTAGCTGTTTCATAATGTGTACAATCAGCAGGTCAGCAATCACATTAGACTAACATAGTTCAACAATTACATAGAGCAGTAGAGAAGCAGAGTTTAGCTATAACATTAAGGTAGGTCTGTTGTTACATCAGGTGAGTGGTTCCCAAACTGGGGTGCATCATGACGTTTGGGGTACGTCAAAATTTTTTTTGACAATCTTCATTTAATTTCATTTAAACAACCGACCACTCAATTACGCAGGCACTCTCCTGATGTAGGTGACACAAACAGCTTCCAGCACATGGCAACCCCAAGATTTAACAGTTCGGTATTTTACTTTATACTGAAAGGCTGTATAAGAACATACATATAAGAATGTAACAATAACATTAAATTCAGTTTATCATGCGCTGCTGTGTGTGTGAATAAAGTGAATATCCTTTACTAAGCCTGGATGATGCTTGTTAGTCATGTACTTTTGTTCATGGTTTTAGTGAGTTATGTATTTGTAAGTTAGCCTCTGTTATCTGCGATTAACTGTTAGCATTTTGACAACGTGTTTGTAGCGCTGCTTTGTGTTTGTGTCTCTGTTAAAAGCTGAGTGGATGATGTTTCTGTGTTGTATGTGATCTGTGTCACACGTTAGCGAACTTTTTGTGACTCGCTGTTCGTTCACAGAGTCTCTTTTACACACATGCACATACAGTATGTGCCCTCATACTGATGCTGCAACATATATGATCACAAATGAAGGAGGTTCAGTTCTCTGCCACTCTGAGCTCTGAGAAGAACTCCAGACTGACTCACACCTATAACACAGTAATGCAGAAGTGTCCCTAATATTGTTTGTTTATTAAGTATTCATTTTAAGGTACACACTAATAAAAATGTCTGTTGTACAACGTCAGAAGAACGGTACTGTACTGTGTGACTTTCCCGTTATACAAATCCACTAATATACACTGAAAGATACAGTATTGGTCTTAGGGCTCAACTTTGTATCTTGAAAGAGTTTTAAATGTGACCGACATTCACTTTTCCATGGGAAAGGGACATTTATTTGTACCTTTTCACAACCAAATGTTTCAAAATAGAAAAATAAAGTGAAGATGGCGAATATGGAATAACACATATTAGGAGTGAAACCTTAGAAAGTGATTGGCTTTTTAGGCACACAGATTTTTGGCACTGCAATTAGTTAAGCTCAGTACCTTGGACACCGTGATTGGTCTGAGGCAGGTAAGACCGCCTGCTGTAAAGTTGCAGGTCACTTTTATAGAGTCAGAGGAGCAACCCATGTTTGGGTCAATCCAGTAAGTGCCTAAAGAAAGGAAACAATAAGTTACTGTTAGTACATACACCCGCACACAGGCACATACAAAAGTAAATGAAACTCCCATAAACGTTCGCCAAAGCATGAACAAAATATTTCCTCATGGACGCACACATTGTAGGGTTTCTTAATATTTTAAGAATCAAATATTTATCAAAAATGTAATTTTGACCTCTATAATTAATTCATCATGAAAAGAGTGATGTAAGATTAATGTATTTCATTTAGCAGTGGCACCACAGTCACAACTAGTTACCACTAAATAGCACTAGTAAGTAAGTAAGGACAATAATGAATCCTCGTTTGTAATGAATACTAATCACAGATACTGTAGTTTCACGTTCTATCAGTGTTTGGGTAAGCCATCAGGGTTTAATCACAGACCTCATTTTTCATCCTTGGCTATGACTGCACCATTTTTAACCGACTCAAAATCGTAATTACAATACTGCTTAAATTAAATCACAACAGTCGTTATTATAATTGTCATAAATGGAGCAGAGCAAAGCATAAACTCATAAAGAGGGTTTTAAATGGTGTGATTATGTAATAAAACGTATCGTTTACACAGCAGAATAAAACATTTTTAGCTCTTTTTGTTTTTTGGAAAAAAAAAAAAAATTCCAGTAATTTCATACAAAGTGGTGGCAGTGAAAAAAATTAGCTCATATTTTTTTTCAGACAGCACTATATTTGAGAGGACATTTTGGAACTCCTGAGGACTTTCCTGTTCTACAAATCCACTAATGCACACACGCACACACACACACACACCATCGTTGAGTTTGTATTGGCAGGTGCGCAGGTCTCGGCAGAGGCGAGCTGGGTGGTCTTGTGTGCCCAGAGGATTCTTTAAGCTGCGCACCAACAAACTCAGGTAGTGCAGTGTCCTCAAAATCTCTGGAGCCCGGTCCAGCATAGGTGAATCCGACACAGATACACCCTGAGACAGTGATATGAGAGGAAAAAAGGTTTCTATAGATCTGCATATTTTACATTGATAATACTGTCACTTCTACTAAAGTACATTTGTGAGGTATCAGCTTTTTCATTTCCATGTTTGCCTCTTTGCCCTCACCTCTCACTCCTAAGTTCTAGGGTTTAATTTTAGGCCAGAAAATAAAAAAGACAAACAGATATGAACAGAGCTTACCTAAAACTGGTCCTATGGAAACAGATGCTTAATGTTCTTTGTTTTTTGATCCTTTTTGATACTTTTTTACTTAAGTTGGTTTCTGATAGGCTATGTTTAACTGAGTATGGGTTTAGGCTACTCTACCCATCTTTGGCTGTATAAACCTCAATTGTAAAACAGTTGGGACAGTATGTGAAATGCTGATAAAAACAAAAAGAAATCAATAACACATTCTGCTTGAATTATTTTAAATTGAAAACAGTACAAAAACAGAGTACTTGTTGTTCAATCTTATGAACATCAATGATTTTTTGTAAATATATACTCACTCCAAATCTGATGCTTTTTAGCATAGTCCAAAAAGTTGGTATAAGAGCATATCACTCTCATCACCTTTCCTTTCAACAGCACTTAATTATGTTGACTGAAGGCACAAACTGATCCAGATTTGGAAGCAAAATCTATTCCATTCTTCCATTACACAAGACTTTAGCTGCACCGTAAAGGGTAAAGTATCTAAAATCCTTGCAGTTGCTCGGTGAGGAACGCTGTGCTCAAACTTTTGGATTATTTCCTGAAGCATTTTTTGGCAAAGCGGTAAGCCTTGACACATCCATGCTCATAAAGACTAGGCCTTTCCTGGATGCTCCTTTTATATCCAAGCATGACTGAATCACCTGTTTAAGACATTTTTAGAACATTTCACAATGTTCATGGTCTTAAATTACTTCTGTCCCAATTTTTTTTGAATCAGTTGGAGGCATCAGTTTTAGGATGAATGTATATTTGCAAAATACAATGAAGTTGATAAGGTAAAACATGAAATATCTTTGTACCGTTTTTGTATAAATAGCAGTTAAAGTGGATTTACAAATGCTTTCTGTTTGTATTTGCATTTCACATACTGTCCCAACATATATATGTATATACACACATGATATATTTGTATTTAGTATTTGTAGATAATATTTGTATATATGTGATGTTGAGTTTGCATGATTGTGTTTGTGTGTGTACCATTAACATACACACCTCTGTTCTGAGTGTCGTGTGTGAGTCAGCAAACAAAGGCAAATGTACTCCGCTGTCATCCCGCTGCTATAGGGTGAACAAACACACGAAATCAATGAACTGTTCTGCAAGACAAACATACAATATGTTTATTTAGATCGACAGACAGATTAAGAAAAGAAGTAAAAAATTAAAATGCTTACAAAAGATTGTAGGATACTGGGTGGGCCCTGGATTAAAAAAGATAAGCGTTCAATTAGGGCTTGGGATTTCCTTGTGTTTTGTATGTGTTCAGATATGAAATGGGTCTCACCGGTGGTCCAGGAGGGCCACGAGGTCCAGGAGCGCCCTATAAAACACAGAAATGAACAGTCAAATGAACCATGAGTGCACTGATAAATACTACTTAACATTTCATTATATTGTAACTGAAATGTGAAAGGTCTGTGAATGTGCATAAATACTTACCCTCGGCCCCTGAGCACCCTGTATGACAAAAAGCCCACAACACAGCATTTAGAGAGCAATTTTTTAAACACACTGCATTCAAAAACGCAAAAACTGTGTGTGTGTGTGTGTGTGTGTGTACGTTCACATCTTACCGTCTCTCCTCTGTTACCAGCATCACCTCTAGGACCCTACACAAAATTGTCAAAGGTAAAGGAAGAAGACAGTTAAGTATTAAAAAAGTGCTGCAGACTCTGGTGTCATTTATATGTCCAAAAGTCTGTAGACACATCCTGTAATTGTGAATTTAACTACGTAGAAGGTGCACCCATTGACACAGATATTTAACTGCACAAACACAGCCTGTATAATCTCTTTAGAAAGGACTGACAAATAGAATAAGACACTGTGGAGCAGCAGCACATGAGCCTAAGGTCACCATGCCCAATGCCAAGCATGGGCTAGAGTGGTATAAACCCCCCCAGCATTGGGCTGTGGAGCAGTGGAACTGTGTTCTCTGGAGTGATGGAGCTCCATCCAGTACCTTTGGGATGAGCTGGAGTGATCCAGAACTGACCATCCAACATAAGTACCTGACCTCACTAATGCTCTTGCGGCTGAATGCAATCAAATCCTCATGTTCCAAAATCTAGTGCAAAGCCTTCCCAGAAGGGTGGAGGCTGTTACTACAGCAAAGGGGCACAAACCCCCTATTAATACCCTTCCAGGTGTGAGCTACAAGTTCAACATGTCTGGGGATGCAGAGATTAGACAGTTATGTTTAAGAATGCCTCTGTTTTGCTAAGGCACCCTAGACCATCTCATAAAAATACACCTTTATATGTTATATTTATACATATCACTGCTGTTGGACAAAAAATCTATATCTTTATTCTAGGCATTTTTAAACTGCAGCAACTCTTTGCGTTGTGTTAAAATTTCTTGACAAACAGACCAACAGAAATGGTCCAAAATTACAAAGTCTGTCATTAACTTCCTCCTTAAGTTAAGAACAATTTTTCTTTTCCTGTAAAGATAATATTTCGGAGATATGAGGCTTTGTTCCAAAATCAACAATATATTGTTTCTAAAAATCTTAATATAGTCTGTAATATTTTAAATACATTTTTTAATTTATTACATATTTTTACATATATCATTGTAGGGCTGGAAAAGGTCTCCACTATGCCTGTTTGAGGAGCTGCCCTACAGTTCTCTTATCAGCATTTACATTTCAGAGACTTGGTGGTACCTTGTCAGGTTGGGCAATATTTCCAACATGTTCAATTTTTGACTGGTCAGAATGGGCAACCTCTTGGTTGAGGCTGGTCAGAGATTAGAGGGGCAGACAGAGTGAAAGGGAGATTCTGTGGAGACACCAGACCTCTGTTCCTGGCGCTATCTCTATCTCTCTCTCTCTGTATCTATCTCAGGTAATATTCAGGTAGTATTCTCAGGTATTTTTCTCAATGCGGTATTCATCATATTTACAATATCTTTTGTATACTGTCATCATACTATTCATTCAACTGTGACATGTAACTAATTTTGGCAACTTACTGAAAACCCATCTGTGTAACCATAAACCACTGTGAAGATTAACCTTCTGAACAGCATTGCTTAATATGCTAAACTTTAATTAAAAGAATAATACCACACAGACTTTTAATGGTCTCGCACTTCAACGATAACAGTTTTCTGTGCCTTCCTCCTTTAAATACAGGTCAGAGTGAGACAAAACCAAAAGCTGCCCTACATCACATATTTTTTCTTCCTGTATGGGTACTGCCTGTATTATTATTGTAAACTGAGATGTAGTAGAGATCACTTACAGCAGGGGTGTCAATCTCAACCACTAAAAGGGCCATATTAAAAAATTTCAACAAATCCGTGGGCCAGAGAACACCTATGTTTTGTTTTTTTTTTAAACCTGATTATAACCTGAGCTAACCATTGTTTATCCAAAATATGCCAAAAATTCAACAGTAAAATACAGACACTTGTAGTAGACCTAGAAATATTACATAAATGCTTGAAATATTCAAAATTTAAACATCCCCAGGATCTCAGTCTTTTAAATCTACCTATTTGCTTGAACTAGACACCTGGCATCCTTTCTTTGCTGCAAGTTCATTAATACTTGGGCTCAATTTCTGAGCTGCTGAGCAAACATTAAATGTATATTGTATATAAGGCATGTATGTAATGTATATAATATAGAGTATTGGTTGAACAACAGCTGAAACGCAGCTAGCGTGTTCGGTGATATGACTGATTTGTGTAGAATTGAGGTGTAACCGCTGTCACATAGACTGTTGGGGTGGGAGAGTTGGAGCGCACATTACGTTGCACTGCATGCTGGGTACCGTAGTGCAGTGCACTCTGAAACAAGCTAATATTAATAGAAAATTAAAATAGTTTCGCGGGCCGGATAAGATGTATCACAGGCCTGTTTGGGCCGCGGGCATTGTGTTTGACAGATGGGACTTACAGTGTTGCCAATGGGACCGATTATTCCAACAGGACCAGGAACTCCACTTTTCCCCTACAGAAACGCAGAGAAACAATATACTGTTGTTTACATGTTGTCCTACTGATAAAGTCTACTGTTTTAATGAGAAATTTTATTTAGAAACATTTTTATGCCTTTACTGTCATCTACAAACGTTCTGAATTACTACACACTTTTCTTAGTTTGCAAACACTTACCTTCCAATAGGAAAGAGTTAACAAGTGGTACATTTTCACATTATTAACAAATCCCTTACATGTGCATTCTCTTGTTACATGAGTGTATGTTATACAAGTGAATATTAATAATGTTTTTATCTCAACAATCTTTTAGTATACAGACAATAAACAGCTCACTTCTGGGTAAGATTTCCCTTCAGTGTGACAGTGTTAAAAGAGAGAGCGCAGTCTCACCATGGTGCCCAGAGGCCCTTTAGGCCCACGAATGCCTTTCAGCCCGAAGTCTCCTGGAGGCCCCTGAACAAACAACAACATTTTTAATTAAACATACACACAAGCACGAAAATGCATGCACATTGGATAACTGTGTTCTGGAGTGTTTTACTCCTTTAATATAGTACTACTAACACCACTGATCCTGCCATGAACAGAAATATTCACTAACCACACAGACCAGGAAAACACGGAGGTATTCATTAACTCCAAAGACCAGTGTGTGCTTATGTGCTGATGGCTAACAGTGTCTGCATTTTTTTTCCCATAATTTTCACACGTAGCTCTGTGCCTGTGTGTATATTTGCTTGTGCACCTGAAGCAAAAAGCATGGGCCCATTTAAAAGTCAGAATTAAATAGTATATTGGTTTAATATTTATATTCCTTCTCCCTGAGAAGTCCTTGACTTCTCATCTGACTATATACTTCTCACGGAGGTGGGTAGTAACTATTTCCATTTCCTCATTTCCATGTATAATTTTGAGTACTTTTTGAGTATTCTGAATATAAATGATCACTTTCTTATTTCTTCCATTTGTGAGGAAAGAAATTGTCTTTTTCCTCAGGTCTATATTAGTTCTTGTTATGTACTTCCTAAATTTGAGACTAATCTTGTTCTCTTGTGTTGGTTCACCTCCTTGACTGCTTTTCTGTTGCTCATAAATCTCACTATGGAGCTTTATCATTTTATTTTAGACTAAAAAAAGAGAAGAACAGAGACTAATAAACTTCAATTCCTATATTGATATGTTTTTGGAGCTGATATTTTTCACTCTGGGCAACTTTTACTTCTGCTTGAGTTAATGTTTCATTGAAGTAACAATACTTTGACTTAAGTGAGATCAGAGGAGGTTACTCTAGCCACCTCTTACTAGTGATAACATATGTTAAATACATAAATACAGATAGACACACAGACGCACAAACACATGCACTATGTTTACTGTGGTGAGCCTGTCAATCAAGAACAGGTATGTGTATGTATGTGTGCATGTATGTAGTACTTGCAGCCCAACACTTCAGCTTCTTATTTAAACATCTGTGTTTGACCTTGAGACCCCACAGGGTGATATGCATGAGTCAACAAATCATAGCACTGCTTATCTCTCTTACTCAGTCTCTCCAGATTTAGGAGGAAACCTCACCTTTGGTCCAAACATTCCAAGTATCCCTGGAAACCCTGGTTCTCCCACATCACCCTGAAAAACAAAAATGCATCACTCTGTCCCATCGACATCAGATCATTCAATTACCGTAACAAATGTCAAGAGTCCAGAAACACCAGAGAAGGTAATTACCCTAAAATGTAGCAGAAAGTAGTAATTATGGGCAAGGCACTATTAGGATGTGGTAAAAAATGAAGAACATGGAAAGTACTGCTGAATTTGGATGATCTGCATAGTACATTAGGGAATTAAACCAGTTCTGTTGTCTTCCAATACAGTATCTGAACCACAGTCCAGTACCTGAACATACAATTAATGAACAAGAACAAAATGCTGAACAAATAAAATATTTTAAGAGATTTGCTCAAAGGGATCTACTGTTTCATAGTATTTTATGATATCAATAGTAATTGCTTTAAAATGTATTGGGCTCTATGTTTGGTGACCTAAAATTCCAGAAGTATAAAAAAAAAAAAACATCTGCAGTACCAACTAATGTGTGGGATGGCTGTAGATTCATGGATTTCAGTTTCGCTGTATGTTCTATCCACAAGGGACGTTTGATGGTAAACAAACAGATCCAGGAACTTTAATTCCCAGGGGATTTGACCTTTGGCAAAAAAACGTACTAAACTAGAATGCTGGAAAAAACACAGCTCAGTCCTATGCAATATACAATATGGTGAGGAACACATCTATAGATGCCAAGGCTTGGTAAACTACCTAATGATATGAGTTTAATAAGCACGTGTGTGATTTTATCAGAAGGCAAGGAGAGAGATCTGTATCTGTATGTTTGGGGGACTAGCCGGGAGTTCTGTGTGTGTGTGTGTGCAGTACTCACTGGCTGTCCTTTGGGTCCCCGGTCCCCCTGAGCTCCCGGAAGGCCCATCACTCCTTTAAAGCCTCTCTTTCCTGAAGGGCCGGGATGACCTGGAAGACCTCGCTCACCCTACCATAGAGTAATTGACTGGTTATCCTTATGGAAAACTACCCTGTGCATCAGAGGAAGTTTGATATTTTAGTTTGAGAGTTCATAGTTTTCTCACCTTTGGACCAAATGAACCCTGATCTCCTGGCAATCCTGGGACACCTACTTTACCCCGGGCTCCAGGTTTACCAGAAGGGCCAATCTCACCATCATCTCCTTGTTCACCCTATACAGAGAGAGAGAGAATGGAGAGAGAACAAGAGAGGAAGAAAGGAGACTGCTTCATCATACTGGCTTACAGAAATGTTTTGGCTCTAAACTGCAAGACAACTCAAGGTACATTAATAATGTCTCAAATTGTGTGATTTGAACTTGTAAATTTAAACTAACTTTTTTGAGATTGTAAAAAAAAAGAAGAAAGAGGAACTTTAATCCTTTAAAACCTAATAGTCACAGTTGGACTTAGGTATGACTCTAACCAACATCACAGACAGAAACATCAGTAGTAGAAAAAGGCCCACCGGTATTCCTTTACTCCCATCTTTCCCTGGAATGCCATCTGCTCCAGGAACGCCCTCTTGTCCTTCGCGACCAACAACGCCCCTCGGACCAGGCAGCCCAACAGCACCCTGATGGAGAGAGAGAGAGTGAGAGAGAGAGATGCCTTTTACTTTGTGCGAAAATTTCATAACAAATGGACCAACAGAATATCTATAAAGCAAACCTATCAAGTATTCGAGGTACATTAATAAATGTTAAGAAGGATTTGCATTCTTCTATAAAATTACTGTTTCAAAGGTACAACAGTGAGAGGTAAAAGCAACAACGACAATCTGTTTCTACGTTAACATGAGTAGAAAGGGCTGAATCAAAGAAAGAGTGAAGAAGAGAGAAGACAAAGTATTTGCTCTTACTACTGATCCTCTGCTTCCACGATCTCCTTGTTTACCCTGTTTACCCTTCTGACCCTTTTGGGGAAAAAAGAAAGTAGAGAAAGAAAAAAGAAAAAAATGCTGAATTACCATCCATAACAGTGAAGGAAAATCTCTCCATCATACATACGAACACAGACATTGCTTAGTGTGACACAGTGCTGATTTTCCCCATATGTTATTTACAGTTAACGATTCCAGAGTGTAAGTGATAAAACGTGCATTACTACCAAACACACAGACATATGCATGCAGTCACATCCTGACGCACACATATATACACACACACACCAGCACAACCCCGTACCTGCTCGCCTTTCGATCCTTTGGGGCCTTGTTGTCCACGGGGACCAGGATGGCCCTAAAACATGACAAAAGAATGTTAGTGCTCCTCAATATGTGTGTGTTAGCTGTGGGCGATATAGCCAAGATCCTTTTTTATTTGGAGATAATTATGTGATTGTGAGGTTCTGATGACATGATATAGTCTAATTCTCTAGGCTAGTAATGCAGTTTAATGACTTGACTTTTTTTCAGGTTATTTGTTATGACACTCTATAGATGGACAAAAAACATAAAGCACAGTATAATTAAGTTTTTTTTTTTTTAAATATATATATTGTATATGTTTGGCTACTGAGTGATAACTCTTAGTATGCAAATGTAAATATCAGAGGTCAGGGTCTCAGCCTGTCCCTCTTTTCACTTGAAACTTCATCACTTGTTGTCAGGAAGTGTGTTCAGCAAGGGCTGGTGGACAGACACGTGATGAGCAGCAATCATAAGAAAAATGTTTCTGACTAAGTGACAGAAGGCCCTACGACTTGACTGAAAATGAAAGTAACATTAAACGTGCAGGGAGGGACTGTCCGATATGAACTGCACCAGCTAAGGCGAGAGCTAACTGATAGCTAAGCAATTTATAATAAAATAGAATGTTATTTCTCATGGTTAAGAAATTGTGGTGGTTTTAATTCTATTTAATAGTGAAACACAATTATGCAAAGCAAAACTGCCCACTTCGAGATAAGCAGCACCAACCTGCAATTGATCTAACTAGCAGCTGTGGTACAAATGGTAAACAAATTATGCAATGTAACTCACGGGTAATCCAGGTGCACCAGGTTTGCCTCTAAGTCCATCCACCCCCTGCTGACCCTGCACATCAAAACATCACCAGTGAACAACAAACAACAAGTACAGAAAGACTAAACTACTAAACTTGATTAACTACACTGATTATTACATATTACATACACCGACCAGCCATATCATTCAGTACACTTTCTTGTTTCTACCCTCTTTGCCCATTTTATCAGCTCCACTTACCATGTAGTAGCACCTAGTACTTTTACAATTTCATCATCTTTTACAACTTTAATCGTCTATACTTGTGCAGAGCACCAGTTAGTCGAACCGAAACTGTAATTGGGTGTTTTGTATCTCTTTAACTAAGCTAGTTAAGTTAGCTCAAAGAGAGGAGCCAGCTCACATTAGCTTAGCTAGGATGCAACAGCTCCAAACACCACCGAACAAGGCTTAATTTCACCTTTCAGTCCATCTGACACCAGCCGCTCGACTTCGCTTCCTCAGATTTGAGTCATTAACCATCTAAACTCGCTGGCAGCACGTCAGCTAAGCTAATGCTTACCAGCTACTCTCTCCTGGTTATCAGCGTGGGTTAACAATTAGAAACTGGTGTTTGATTAAAGCGTTGACATTTATTGAGAGGTGGATTTAAAATTCTGTAGCCCAGAGTACGTTTTGCTAACCATGCCAAAAAATGCTCTGAGCCCGGTTTTTAAATGTTCCATGTCAAACTGTGTTTGTGTGGAAAAGCTACTGGAACCGTTACCCCCTGTGCTCAGAACCGTTCGGCCCTGCAGTGGAAAAGAGGCCAAAATCACCCTTGAAAACAATAATATCTGCATTTCATAATTACCGTAATTTTAAGTTTTACTGGAGTTTAAAAGACATCCAGCAGATGGCAATGACATATTAACAGTCAGACCGAAGCCTTGCTGCTTGTACAGCGTTTGCTGCTATGATGGAATCTACGATTGTAGCCCTCAGATGCGGAGTCACTATCACTTGTACAGTGTTTATGAGTCACGTGTCTAGATGCTAAGGGTGTAGCAGATTAGAATTATCATTCTATCACCCTTACAGTTTTAGTCTAGAGAGTAGTCTAGAGTAGTCCAGAACTACAATGAACTTCACCCCTGAGGCTGACTCCTCTACCTGGGAGTGGTAGAGGCCTGCAACACTGGGGTTCCTCTCCTCCACCACGGCCAGAACACATTTAACAGGTTTGACGCACTGAGCACCCGGTTTTAGCATCTCCCTCATCAAAGACACCAAACACCATTACAATTATCAAAGACTGAAATCAGCTGCATGTACTCAGAAAAGTATCGCTATATTTACATATTTAAGATTCATCAAACTTGCCATCCTTCCATTGTATGCCAGCCTCTTCTTACAAGTTTTGTACTGAGATCATTACCACCTGATACTTTAAATGGATCTCACCCCTTTCTTTGGCATTTGTGCTGTTTTAGCTTCAATTGGCATGTGGTGATTACTTTGACTTTTAAGCAAAAATTATGTGAAATATGTAATCAAGCAACTTGCTGCTACCATTTTTACTCCCGCTCAAGATGTTTTAATAAAAGCTTCTTCTCTACTCAAATCTTTAAAAAAATAAATACTTTCATTTTGTGTTTGGATTTTGACTGTGATAATATCACTACACTACATACATCTATATTTTCTACTTTTCACATTTTCTGAAACCATGTCAGTTTGACTGTTGCAACCAAAAGGCCAAAGAGTGGTATGTTAACTCACTGGGTATCCTGGATCTCCTGGCTCCCCTCGGTCTCCTCTGTCTCCGACTCTACCCTACATGAACACACATACACATAATATCCAATGTAGTAATGCAATTACAACTGTAATTTTATATCATTTTTACTCCAATATTTTTAGTTAAACAGTGTTTTAGTGATTGATATGGTTGTCAGTTGTCAACTGTGAACTTTAAAACATGACTGTGTGTTCTCAGTGGTCACATTTGTTACACCCAATAGGTGATGTAAATATTAAAACTGAGTTACCCAGGACTCTTTGCCGTTTTTGTGTTAGGAGGGTTAGTAAAATTTGGAAAGTCAGTAAATGTGGGTTGTCTGCTGATATTATCGGTAAAGCAATATTTCAGTCGGGCTCTACATCTTTGTAAAGTTGTGTAAAGACAACGCAAGATTATAATATCACAATTTAATAGTTTCATTATATAATACACACAGTATTTAAATTCAATAAACGTGTTTCTGAAGTACTTATCCACAGACTAGAAAATGTTAAAATAAGTGAACAGAGAGAAATTGATAAAAGGGAAAGAAATAGAGGCAGAAAGAAGTGTGTGTGAGAGAGAGCGAGAAACAGAGAGATTAACTTACTCTGAGTCCAGGGGGACCAGGAGGGCCCTCAGTTTTCCCATCTTCCCCTTGTTCACCCTAAACAACAACAACAAAATACAAAACAACACAGCAGGCATTCACAACGGTTTTATTGCATTCCAATGTAACTGAGAAGGAACCAGATTCATCAACAACAAAACGTCTTCACACACACAAGCTCCTGCCTTGTGTCACATACCATCTGGAGCCCAAACTTAAATCAGATGAGTGTGAGATGTATATGATGCCTCCTCACAGTGTTATGTATTTGGGCTGTTTGGATGTGTGTGTGTGCAGCTTTAAATGAGCAGTGTTAAAGGGTACGTGAGATGAAAACAGCACAGCTATGATGATCATTTAAATGGGTCAGAGTCAGAGACGCTGTGCGTAAACTTAAGGGTAGTTTGGTGGTCACAGACGGTTTAGTAGGGAAAAGGTAAAAAGGTCAGGGGTTAATGGCGGATTGATGTGTTCAGGAGGTCATAGAGAGGTGTAATTTTACCTTTTCACCTTTTGGTCCTGGAGGCCCCATAGGACCCAATGGCCCCTGGTGACCCTGCAAAGAGCCAAAGAGAGAGAGAGGGAGTGAATATAAAGGGAGGGAGGGAGGAACAAAGAGAGAGGAGAGAGTCTTCTTCATGTCTGAAACACCTCTATGATCCATAAATGGGTGAAAAAATGAGTTAATGAATGTGGGGTGGTGTGTGTGTGTCTGTGTGTATTGGAGATCAAACGGTATGGCAGGTCACGCGCAGAATGTGTTTAAGAAGCTTTCATCCTCCTCACCTCATACCCTGCTATGCCTGGGTCCCCCTGCTGACCCATCCGTCCAGGAGCACCCTGAGAAAGTGAGAGAGAGAGGAAGAGAGAGAGAAAGAGACAAACTGAAATTGGGACAACTAGTTCCTTAAGAGTTTAACTGGAGGTTCTATACAGCAATAATGCTCTGTACATAAGTGGGTTCTTTCATAATTTTACATAATGTTGGAGGATCAATTCCACCTAATGAGAAATTTTAGCACATTTTTTGACAAAACATGTAAATATATAGTGTGTTATTATTTTCAAATGCTATTTTGTATGCATGTGATGTTAGAATAGATGTTTTACAGTAACTACATCCAAGCCTCAGTAGCTACTGAAGTAGACTACGCTGCTAGCTAACCCTAAAACAGCTGAAGTCATTACATTACAGCCAATGTCTGTTTTTCTTTGTCTTCATGTAATCAAAATAGTTTCATCATATTATTAGTCATTAATCACATTAAATCGATGTAACTGTAACTGCTCCCCGCAACTGAACTTAGCATGTTTAAGCTCAGCCCAGAATGTTAGTACAGTAGTTTTGTTTAATTAATCAGCATTTCACCAATATTATATGTCTTCTGATCATTTTCTTTCACACATGATCACGTGGGGGTTGTTGGATTGTGGTCAACTGTATAATAATAATAATAATAATAATAATGATAATAATAATAACTCCTATACGCTTATTCTGTGTATCAGAATAGTCATTCTGTCTCTAAGGACCTGATCCTTTTAGGTCATCTTAGAATGTTCTGTACTTTTCTATGCCTCTCTATCACGGGTACATAACCTTAATACTTAGTGGGGGAAGATTGTTTGGGCCAGTTGAGGGTAATAACACTCTGTACAGTTGTTTTCCACTCCTGCTTTACTGTGGGAGAAGGAACCAACCGGTGACCTGTGAACATCTCCGTATGAAGATGTCTTGAAATAAATCTGACCTTCTCCTCAAAAAACGACTCTACACAAACACATTTTTTGACTACACTTTCATACTCTTCCAGTCTCCTTACCACAGGTCCGATGGTTCCTCTCGACCCCTTGGGCCCAGTGGTTCCGACTGGTCCAGGTTTCCCCACTGTTCCAGTCTCACCCAGGTGTCCCATTTTTCCCTTTGCTCCCTGTAGGACTCAATGAGGGGCAGAGGTCAGCATTAGGTATTGGCACAGAGGAGGGAGAGTTAGGTGAGTAAAGTTAGATGAAGTTGGCTAACTTGCATCTAAAAATAAACTACCTCAGACTGATAGTAATACTCTACTAAAATATTCCTAGTTTTAGGTTAGGGGTGTACGCAAAAGGCCAGTAAGGCTGCAGGTATTTATTCCAACAAAGCAGGAGCACATCTAATCAACTGTTTGAAGACTGAGACCAATTGATTTGACAAGTATACTCAGGTGTACTCCAGCTTGTTTAGAATGAAAACTGCAGCCACATCAGTCAAACTGTGTATAAGACTGGACACTTTTGGTTTGCTTCCACTCAACTGCCAATGTAAGAGGTCCACTATGTACACCAATCAGCCATTGGTCTATTCACCAAATAGCTGCACTTTTTTAGTCCAACTGTTTCTCTGCATACTTTGTTAGCCCCTTTCCCCTGTTCTTTAATGGTCAGGACCCCACAGGACCACCACAGAGCAGGTATCAATTGAGTCTTGGATCATTTTCAGCACTGCAGTGACACTGACGTGGTGGTGGCGTGTTAGTGTGTGTTGCACTGAGAACAGTCAACTAACCAAAAATATCCAGCCAACAGCAGCCTGTGCTGGAGTTTTTAAACACCTCAGTGTTGCTGCTGGACAGAAAACAGTCTGCCAACCAAACCAAAAATACTGTGGGCAGCATCCTCTGACTACTGATGAAGGACCAGAGGATGACCAGACAGATGAGCTACTGTCTCTAACTTTACATTTCCAAGGTGGACCAACAAGGTAGGAGTGTCTAATAGAGTGGACAGTGAGAAACTCAGCAGCACTGAGTCTGATCCACTCATACCAGCGTAACATACACTAACGCCACCATTATGTCAATGTTACTGCAGTGCTGAGAATGATCCACCACCCAGTTAATTTCTGCTCTGTGGTGGTCCTGTGGGGGTCCTGACCACTGAGGAACAGGGTGAAAGGGGGCTAATAAAGCACACAGAGAAACAGATGGACTACAGTCTGTAACTGTAGAACTACAAAGTGGTCCTTTATGGTCAGTGGAGCTGATAAAATGAGTGTAGAAACAAGGAGATTATTTAATGTTACGGCTAAAAGATCTACAGTGGTGTGAAAAAGTGTTTGCCCCCTTCCTGATTTCTTATTCTTTTGCATGTTTGTCACACTTAAATGTTTCAGATCACCAAACAAATTTAAATATTAGACAAAGATAACACAAGTAAACACAAAATGCAGTTTATAAATGAAGGTCTTTATTATTAAGGGAAAAAGAAATCCAAACCTACAGGGCCCTGTGTGAAAAAGTGATTGCCCCCTAAACCTAATAACTGGTTGGGCCACCCTTAGCAGCAACAACTGCAATCAAGCGTTTGCAATAACTGGCAATGAGTTTTTACAGCGCTGTGGTGGAATTTTGGCTACTCATCTTTGCAGAATTGTTGTAATTCAGCCACATTGGAGGGTTTCCGAGCATGAACCGCCTTTTTAAGGTCATGCCACAGCATCTCAATCGGATTCAGGTCAGGACTTTGACTAGGCCACTCCAAAAGTCTTAATTTTGTTTTTCTTAAGCCATTCAGAGGTGGACTTGCTGGTGTGTTTTGGATCATTGTCCTGCTGCAGAACCCAAGTGCGCTTCAGCTTGAGGTCACGAACTGATGGCCGGACATTCTCCTTCAGGATTTTTTGGTAGACAGCAGAATTCATGGTTCCATTTAGCACAGCAAGTCTTCCAGGTCCTGAAGCAGCAAAACAGCCCCAGACCATCATACTACCACCACCATATTTTACTGTTGGTATGATGTTCCTTCTCTGAAATGCTGTGTTACTTCTACGCCAGATGTAATGGGACATACACCTGCATCAGTCCACAGCATATTCTCCCAAAAGTCTTGGGGATCATCAAAATGTTTTCTGGCAAAACTGAGATGAGCCTTTATGTTCTTTTTGCTCAGCAGTGGTTTTCGTCTTGGAACTCTGCCATGCAGGCCATTTTTGCCCAGTCTCTTTCTTATGGTGGAGTCATGAACCCTGACATTAACTGAGGCAAGTGAGGCCTGCAGTTCTTTGGATGTTGTTGTGGGGTCTTTTGTGACCTCTTGGATGAGTCGTCGCTGCGCTCTTGGGGTAATTTTGGTCGGCCGGCCACTCCTGGGAAGGTTCACCACTGTTACACCATTTGTTTTGCCATTTGTGGATAATGGCTCTCACTGTAGTTCGCTGGAGTCCCAAAGCTTTAGAAATGGCTTTATAACCTTTTCCAGACTGACAGATCTCAATTACTTTGTTTCTCATTTGGGGGGGGGCAATCACTTTTTCACACAGGGCCCTGTAGGTTTGGATTTCCCTTAACAATAAAGACCTTCACTTATAAACTGCATTTTGTGTTTACTTGTGTTATCTTTGTCTAATATTTAAATTTGTTTGGTGATTTGAAACATTTGACAAAACATGCAAAACAATAAGAAATCACAAAGGGGGCAAACACTTTTTCACACCCCTCCAATAACAGGTACAGTGGTGTTGATAAAGCTGACCACAGATGAAAGAATAGGGGATAGCTTATATAAACTGTGCATCAACAAACACACTAACTGTCTGCTTTAACTTCAGCAAGATGGAGCGACAAGCTAGTGGAAGTTATTGGTTTACAATAAACTGAACAAGGAGTGTGTGTATAGGACTAATTCTAATACTATAATATAAGTAAAAAAGGCATATTCACATTAAGAAGGAGTTTGAGCCTCTTAAGAGATCACTAATATCCAGTTTAAACATTTGGCCCACAACAAATTGGAGTGAAACAGTGACCACCAGTACTGAAATAGACTGAATTCTGTAATAGCTAATTGAACTTTCGCATATACTGGCATTTTTCAAAAGCTTAGTGCATCACTGACCTTCAGGCCATGTTTTCCTCTCTCTCCCATTTTCCCTGGCTTCCCTTCAGGACCCTGAGCAGGGAGTAGATAAAACACACACACACACACACACACATACTGATATTAGTCCAAACACAGTGTGTATACATGAATTAAGTGTTATTATATTAGTCTGTGCAGTTAGTGTGGATACAAGGAAGTGTGTGTGTGTTTGTGTGTGTGTGTGTGTGTGTGTGTGTGTGTGTGTGTGTGTTTCTGCGTGTGTGTGTACAAATGCACTCACTCTGACGCCGGTAAGTCCGGGGTCACCCGGTGATCCTTCTTTGCCATTGATTCCAGGGTCACCTCTCATGCCGGGCTCACCCTCCAGTCCCATGTCACCTTTCTCCCCCTGATCAAAACAAACAAACAACACAGCTCCTACAAACATGCTAATAAACCCACACATTACTATCAATTCTTATTATACACTAAAATAACCTAAGTCTTACAAACAATTGAAGTATTAATCCAACGCTGCAGAGGTCAGCTCATGGTCTATCGTCCGACAACACAGGTGAAATATGTTCTACCATAGTCTAATGGCTGACTTTGACCAAGACTCATGAGCGTCATTCTTACCAGATATGGCACTTTGCAGTTGCATGGGTGGCAGTTCGAAAAAATAATCAGAAGAAGCATATGGGGGGGGGGTTGAACACAACAAACAGTAGGAGAAAAAATGGGGAAAAGTCTTTTTTTTTAAACAAGGAGAATAAGACACCACCGTGTCCCTGAGGGAGGAACAGTGTGGTTCTGTTTATCTGCATATCCAGTATTCCCTGGCTAATGTTTGAGTAGATGAACTGTGTGCTGTTCGTCTGACCTTGCTGTGTAAGTTACAGTTGAGTTGTAAAACAGAATTTCTTCTGGTGCTCACTCAAAATAAAATGAAAATTGACTGCAAACTTTTTTGAGTTAACTTTTATTAGTCATAAGTACTACATCTCAATTGCCAGTGTATAGTACTACTATAGTTACTTTTTTTTTTTTAGCCCTTATATGTATGTGATTGCAGTCTACTACAGTACTGCAGTCTATTGCAGTACTACTATAAATAGTTGGCAATTTACATTCAAATATTTACTCTGTTTAATTACCAAAAAAATCTACAGTCTACCTGAAGAGGGCAGACTGTTATTTGGGCACCCATGCTGTCTTGTGATCTAGGTGTGATAATGTTGAGTGTGGAATTGGGTTAGGATTTTCTGCCTGAGGAATTTGGGAAGAATGTACGTATTTTAGGATAAAAGCCAAAAACAAGGGCACAAGCAATTTCATGCATTTTGTACAATGAGACAATATCAGATAAACCTATGAAGTATTACTCTGCCTATACCGAGACTGGTAAGCCTGGTAATACCACTAAACACTTTGAGATTCATGGCTGTTAGTACATTCATGTTTATAACACATTAATTCCTTGCTAACTAGCCTGCTGCTTCTGCAGTGCAGAAAGACAAGTTGCATCAATTTGCAGGTTTCAAAGCTTGTACTTATAGGACCCCTTTGTAAAAGTTTGTTTGTGTACATATAAACTATATTGTGATGTTGTCCAAGAGATATTGTTCTCTAAAAGAAGCAAAATTAACTGTCACAGATCTGGAACCTGAGTGATGTTTTACTGCAGCCGTGGCAGTAAAATGATCGGAAGAATCGGCTTGAGAACTAGAAATGTATTAGTCTCCTATTAGCACCCACAACCCTGAGCCAGGACATGTAGCTTGCTACTAGAAAGAGCGGAAACACATACCTTAGGGCCATCAGGACCAGCAGGTCCAGCCTCGCCTTCCAAACCTGGCTCTCCCTACAAACATACACAAAATTCATTTGAAGAAATCAAACACACATCAACAGTAAAAAACGCATGTATGAACAAACGAAGCTCATACACACCCTGGGTCCGACAAGGCCTGGAGCTCCAGCGTTCCCTTCTGCTCCCAGGGCACCCTACAAATCACACAAATCATAACACTGAGTAAATACACATACTTCTCTGTCATTCCTGTGACTCTTAGATATTCTGTTCAGACACCCCCGTAAGTCCGCTGTGGTGGCAGAACTGGCATTACCATCAGTAAACTATGACTACGGTCTCTATAATGGCAGCACTGGCTAGCACAGACTAACATTAGCCTAGTTTTAGGAGCTCTATTTAAACACAAATATAGTTTTACCAGTCCTCTTCAAAGCTGGATTCGCCCTGTCATTACAACACATAGTCTGTGCTGTATAATAACAATAAGACAACAAAAGCGTATTTGCCAAGACAGAAATTACACAAGGCCATTTGCAACGAGGTCAAGGCTTCAGCAGATCAGTGTGGGTACCCTCAAATAGGGTACACACTAAGGGTGTTTTCACACTTGGACCATTCAGTTTGGTTCACTTCTAGTTCGCTTTGTGGTCCGACTGATTCATGCATTGTGAAAACAAAACAGACTCAGTCCGCTTGTGTCTGATGGTAAAGACCTTGAGGCGTACTGTAGGCACAAAGCCACAGTCCTCCAGCACTTCAGCAGGTAAAAACAGACCACCAAGGATCAATTAGAAGGTAATACTCAGAGCATTAATGCACAGCATTGCATGCGTTAGGCACACATGCAATGCAGAGCTTCTTTCTCCTGTTGAAAATGACCGCTGCTCTTTCAAACAACTTATTTATCTGCAGAGGTGGATTTTCACTGGGTGATGAACTCAGCAAAAAATGGAACCCACCACGACAGACACGCAGGGTCATTTTTCCAATTTTCCGCGACACGCTATTCGGCAAATGTAAGAGCAGCAGGCATGTCTGGTAGGTTCATTTGTCACCTGAAAGGTTAGTTTCCTTTCAGGTTCACTTTAAAAGAACTACAAAGGGACAGAACTTCGGTTAATTTCAAAAGAACTATATGTGAAAACACCCTAAAACAGCACTCAAATAGGGTTTATAGTGAGACAGTATCCATACTCAAATGATGGCCATGTTTAGTTTATATTTAGCATATGTCTAAAATTATGCAGAAACCCCTTCTAATTAAACAACGATTTTGTGCAATTGTGCACACATAGCCTGCATAATGACCACAGATGATGAAGATGCACGTGAGCCTAAGTTCACCATGCTTACTGACGTTATGAAACAGCTTAACCCTCCTACCTTCTCTCCTGGTTCACCTGGAACTCCAGAGTCTCCCACTTTTCCTGGAGGGCCCTAATGAAGAGAAAGAGTACAATTTTGAACTTCTTAAATGATTGATGAACATTTTTATTTCTTCTTTCGTGCCATTGTCAATGTTATGTTTAGAAGTTTTTTCCTTTTTAGGGAGGTCTTATACTATTATCAGGGCTTATAAAAGTTTTCCATTTAAATGAGTGATGATAGAATTAGAGCATCTATTACCTTAATTACATCTAATGATTACAGACAGATGATAAAGGACTGAAAACAAGAAAAAAAGAGTTTTGGGGCCAAACGTTTGTGCATGTCTATATACACATGTATGCGTGTGTGTACTCTTTATTATTATATTAAGTGTGTGTGCTCGTGTGTATTGAGGTTTAATCACACCGATAGTTTTGAACTGCAACTGAACTGAAATGAAATGAATCTGAATTGCAGTGCTTCACTCAGGATGAGATAATGTGAAGACCTGGAAAAGATGCAGCGTGTATGTGTGTGTCCGCGTTGTAGAAACTTACCTTTGGCCCAATGTTTCCGAGAGGCCCTATTGCTCCTGGTATTCCTGGGGGGCCCTTATTTAAGGCAGAGACATTGAAAACATCAAAAAACCACACATGCATACAATTCCTACAGCCAAGGTCTTCAACTCTTATTTTGTATTCAACTCTACATAGCCTGGCAAAAACACTGGAAACTATTTGAAATGGTTGATAAAACACCTTTATTCAGTAATTCAAAAATGAAGCTAGTGCCTCCTTAAACCTGCAGACTCTATGGCTTCACTGCACTATAATGCACAGGCAAAGACACGATCATTTAGGACAGTGTTCTCCACTCTCTATCCATTTAGGATAGTGTTCTCCACTCTCCACAAAGGGTTAAGGTGCAGTGCAGAGAGGAGCCATAGCTTTGATTGACTCACTGGCTCTCCTGCGATTCCTTTGGCTCCTGGTGCCCCTGAAGGCCCCTGGATTCCCTGTGGAGGAAAAGAACATGTGTTTAAAACTAATAACATTAATGCTCTAAGTGCAATCAAAAAGTATTTTATGCATTAATGTTTATTAGAGAACAGTAAATCATGGCTGCAATAAATATTGACCATTAGCTCTAAACTCCCACCAGGTACTTATACCCCCTGTTCACTTTATGAACTCCATCTACCTTATGGATCCGCTATATAGGTGTAAATTATATGTATCTGTTGTCACACACAATATGTCAGCTGCCCTCTACCCTGTTCATCATTGGTGAGTATCTGACTACAGGACTGCAGTTGTCCAATGGTGGTCTGTTAGCAGCACAGCAGTGACACTGACATGGTAGTGTGTGGTGCTGGTGCGAGTGTATTAGACACAATGGTTGAGGAGCAGTTCACCATCCAAAAATATTCAGCCAAGATGGCTCTGAGGTCAGAAAGGTCAGTGACGAAGGGCCAGATGATGGCTAATACAAATTGTGTATCAACATATGAGCTGCAGTCTTGAACTGTCACTAGCAAGAAGAAGTTACAAGACAGTTTTTAAGTTTTGAAGTCGATGAAGAGAGTGTACAGGCTATAACATGTCAGTATCAAACTGAATAATAGCCTTTTATTTACATATGCCCATAATCAACAAATTTAAGGGAATGTGTTTTGACTGAACATACCGGAAACCCTTTTGGCCCGACCTCGCCAGGCTCCCCAATCTTACCCTGCAGAGAAAGAAGAGACATCCTTTTAGAAGAAAATTACAGTAATAAAAGACTGACTGTTTTGATCCCCAATTGAATTTGAATCTACATAAGCCAGAGGTCAACACATTGAATCAGAGTCATCAAGCTTTGTGTAGAGCTGCTGCAATGACAAATGACCATGTTATTGACCTTTTCCCAAAATGATTCATTTGCACAGAGGAACATGCCAGTCTCTAAAGACTGGCACTAAATGCTTTCCTTAGGAAATCAGCACTGTGCTGCTTACAGCTGCTTTAATAAACTTTTAACAGTGTCACTGGGTTGTATAATGCTGACTGCCCACAGCAATGCAGTTAAACAGCAACCGCTGTGCTACCTTTATGTAAGTACTGCCACAAACTGAGATGTGCTATTAGAAATAAGGGTATAAACAGTCAGATGGAGAATATGATACTGCACTCAATGGCTGCTGATTTACTGAATAAGGACGAGTCAGCGTTTTTAGATTGCTGTGATATTGCCTCAGATGCAATTCTAATAGTGAAACAGATTAACAGCAGTTCATATAGTTTGATTCATTGAAATGAAACCTTAGATTGATGTAAAGCAGTAAAACGAGTCACAGTGCCCTTTACACACTGGCAATCAGCAGCACAATGGCTGTACGATCTCATGTACTTTTTTCATTTACAAAAGGTCAAATGCTCAGTTAAACTATCATGTAAATTTTATTCTGCTTTGGTTCTGCTTTTCTAGCATTCAGTCACTGCCTTTGAATTAATGTAGTACTTCTCCAGACCCCTTGCCTGGAAGGCTGGCCCCTCCATAAAGAGTTGGGGGTATAAATTGTGTCCTAAGGGCTGTATTCAGAGGTGAGTTATTGCACATGTCAGTTTTCAGACTTCAGACTTATCTATGAACTCCTGCGCTGCTCAGACAGTTGCAGGCGTGGGGCAGAGTTTGCCCAATAAGCAAGTTTAGTTAGTTGAGTTTAACCGCTTACAGAGTAACTGAACTGAGCTGAAGTTTTAACTGATTATACATACAACACTAACAATAATCTTTCACTTTATATCAAGTTAGTAATTTAGCACAAATAGGTTTATTTGGTTTTTGTCAGAGAATATCATTTCCCTTCTATTCAAATGTAGGTTTTAAGCAGCATTTATATACTTCTATCAAACCTGTGGATAATTATGAACATTATAAATCAAACCTATTATTAATTTCGGCATATAACAGTTTAAAGCTACACCAATCCAAACAGGCTTTCAAACTAAAAATTCACTGAAAGCTTTCTTGACCTCATATTTTCTCAAAAGCAGCTTTTACACACACCGACCACTTCATTAGATACACCTCCTTGTTTCTACATTCATTGTCCAGATTATCAGCTCCACTGACCATAAAGGACCACTTTGTAGCTCTGCAATTACAGACTGTAGTCCATCTGTTTCTCTGCATACTTTGTTAGCCCCCTTTTACCCTGTTCTTCAGTGGTCAGGACCCCCACAGGACCACCACAGAGCAGAAATTAACTGGGTGGTGGATCATTCTCAGCACTGCAGTGACGCTGATGTGGTGGTGGTGTGTTAGTGTGTGTTGTGCTGGTCTGAGTGGATCAGACACAGGAGTGCTGCTGGAGTTTTTAAACACCTCAGTGTCGCTGTGGGACTGAGAATAGTCTATCAACGACTAGAGGATGACCAACACAAACTGTGCAGCAGCAGATGCGCTACTACCTCTGACTTTACATCTACAAGGTGGACCAACAAGGTAGGAGTGTCTAATAGAGTGGACAGTGAGTGGACACAGTGTTTGAAAACTCCAGCAGCACTGCTGTGTCTGATCCACTCAGACCAGCGCAACACACACTAACACATCACCACATTGATGTCACTGCAGTGCGGAGAATGATCCACCACCCAAATAATACCTGCTCTGTGGTGGTCCTGACCATTAAAGAACTAAGTAAAAGGAGTCTAACAAAGTATGTAAAGTATATATGTAAAACTATATATAAACTACATGTATAAACTACATGTACAATGTGCACCTGTATGGTAAGTGGAGCTAAAAAATGGACAAACTTTGAAGAAACCAAGAGGTGTACTTGAAGTGGCCAGTCACTGTATATGTCTGTTCAATTTTTTTCCCTGTATAAGGACAGTTATAACATTAAAACACTATAGATGTGCTATGACTTCTTCATGGTTTAATATTTTTTTGAACTTTGAGTATATGACTAACAAGTGCAAAATAAAAAACAGCAAATAAAAATTTCAAATATAAAAAACACTAGATTTTCAAACTAACTTCTTTTACGCACTAGCAGGTCTGTATTGTTTCTGTAGCGCAGTCAGTGCCAGGGTGTTAAGCATCAAGCAAAACTCATTTAAGTTTTATTTTGCATCATTTATTTAAGATATTCAACCAATTTAAACAATATTTTAAGCAAATTCAACGACTGTCAAACCTAAATGAAGCTCTTTAGGTCACTTCATAAAATGTTTAACAAAATAAGATTTATTTCAGAGGAACTCTTGCCTCCTAGAGGAGCCTGGGGAAGAATTCCCACCAGCATGCTCTAAGGTTACTATAAAGAGGTGGAAACGTCAAAGTCTGGGGCTGTACTTTTATGATGCTGTTTTGCTCAAAACTCAAAAAACTGCTCAAACAATAACAATGTCAAACGCACCAGATGCCTTTTGAAAGAACACTTTGCCAGAAAGAAAATGCTGCTCTTGGAATGGTTTGTTTAAAATAAATGCCACTTGTTTTAACATTTTGTTTCTTAACATAAATTAACTCAATATATTCTGAAATACGGCACAAATGTCCAAGCACTTTTTGGGGCCACTGTATTAGGCTTATTAGATGTTTATGTATACTATTAGATGGTTATTGAAGTTAAGTGCTTGTATCAAAGGGATGCCTCAAAGGCTCTACACAAGAAAAAACTGGCAACCTCAGAGGCATGAACTGTACATGGATAATTTCAATTTGACTTAGCCAGCCAGAAAATCAACTAAAGCACCCACTTAGCACAAGATTAAATACGAATAACTTTTCCCACATTTCTGTTGATCTAACTGTCGACGTAAGTCACCAAATCTGAATACAGCTTAGTGTCCAGACAACATTACACTATCCTTGAACGTACTACTTTTATATGGATCATTATTTTGTTCCATTTCATTGTTATTAAATGTGATTTTCTTTTTTATTTACAAAAAGCACATAATTTGTATAATTTGTATGTGGCAAATAAAAATAAACTACACAGTGAGTTTTACTACTTTTCTGCATAGAGATCTGACCAGCAGGTTTTACCTGGTCTCCAGGGAAGCCAATTTTTCCAGGAGGACCATCAAGACCCTATTGGAGGAGGAAAGAGGCAACAAGAATGCAAAGGATAAGTCAATTAATAATGGCAGCTATGTTATTTTCATTATTGCTGACTACTGTGTTGTTTATGATGTTTTTAGGATCAAGACCCTTACCTTTTTCCCCTCGGTGCCAGCCTCACCAACTGGGCCATCTAGACCCCGTGGGCCCTGAAAGATAACACATACATTCAAAAACACACATCATTTAGACCTAAAGTATGCATGCATACCCAGGCCAATCATAACATTCACTCAAACAAGAAATGCAAAATGAGTAAAGTACCAAATTAAGAGAGAATGAACAAAGTGTGTTTGTGTGTGTGTATATAGCAAGGGAAACAGGTATTCAGACACTTGTTTTTTATTTGATATCATTCCAGAGCATGTTTCCAATTCAAATTTTAAAAAAGTATTATGCCATAAACATAGCGAAGAATAACAGTTAAATGGTGCTGGAGCATTATATGTTTTTGAAGGAAACATGAATAGAGTTGAATTTAATCTCATGGATGAACTGTAAACTGAATTTTGGGAGAAGACGGACATTTCAACAAGATCATAACCTCAAATACAGAGACAGAAAACTCAAAAAAAGGAAGGTGAAGGTGTTTGTATGGCTTAGCCAAACTCCTGCCTCGAACCTCATTGAAAATTTCTGAAGGATTTAAAGCCCACCAGAGGAACCCTCTTAACCTGTAATGCTACAGCAACTACTTGTTACCGTAGACATCTCAACGCTGTAACAAAGCATTGTTGCGACAAAGTAATGTTATTAACTTGTGTCGTCTGAATACTTTGTTCCTATCAAAATTAATTTTACAACCTATCTCAATGTCAATGCTGATGAATACATACATTTTGGTTCATATTTACAAGTGCAAAGTCAAAAGACATTAGATGTGTAAATCTGAAGAGGATATAAGCACTGGAGGTATAGTAAGTAACAAGAAAAGTGTTTGAATGCGTGATTTCCCTCACTGTACATGTGTATGAATTGCTTCTATGAGACGATTCATAGTATTCATGGTTCTGATTTGCAATACAAAAAATTTCAATCTCTCTCCCCCCACTACAAGATGACATGAGAGCATGACAGGGAGGGAATGAGCGTATAAACTGTCTACAAATCAGTAACAGATTATCTACTTACGGAAGAATGCTGTGTCTCTGTGTGTGCTGATAATTACACCATATTACTGCATATGACCCAGCCAAAACATATCAACTGAAGAAACAAAATCATCACTTTCTCCCTGCCAGCTGGCTAATCTTGCTAACTCACACACACACACACAAGTTCTCACAATCAGACAGACACAGAGAGGTCTCAACATGCTGTGTGTGGCCAAGCTTGCACATACCCAAACTAGAGGCCTATACACTAAGGTAACAAGGTGTGTACAATAAACTGCACAACATACAAATACACTATATATCCAGATACACTACATGTTCAAAACTATCCAGACAGCTGTTCTGTTTAGTGAGCTCAGCTACTTTAATGTGCACCCATAGCTGACACAGACTTTCAACTGCCCACAAACGGCTTTAAACAATTTCAATAGAAAAGCACAATAGAATGAGACACGCTAGAGCAGCTGCACATGAACTCAAGGTCATCATGCCCAATGCTAAGCGTGGACTACAGGGCTATAAAGCTCACCAGCATTGGGCTGTGGAGCAGTGGAACTGTGTTCTCTGGATTGATGGAGCTCCATCCAATACCTTTGGGATGAGTTGGAATGATCCAGAACTGACCATCCAACATCAGTACCTGACCTCACTAATGCACTTGTGGCTAAATGCAATCAAATCCTCACAGCAATGTTTCAACATTAGTTTACATATAAACTGCTTTCGGCAATTTTCCAACATCTAGTGTAAAGCCTTCCCAGAGGAGTAGACGATGTAATTGCAGCAAAGCAGGACAAACTCCCTATTCACACCCATGATTTCAGAACAAACACTAGACGAGCAGGTATCTACACACTTTGGATATATAGTGTATACGCAGTAGATATACACTGTACACAATTTATCCGGTTTAGGTGAGTAAAGAGACTGGCTAGTGTCTGTAGCTTACACCCTAATGGAAGCTTACGTATACTGATAAACACTGAGCAGACTGCACACGTAAATCATTATACTTGAATCTGAAGGACGCTCCCTCAGTGACAATGCTTATTGATCTCTGGAAGTCTGTTTCAGAACTTAGGTGCCATTCCATTAGTTTAGATCAGTTTGTCTTAATTTTGCTAATGGGTGCCTGCAGCTGTTTCCTGCACCAACATAACTGATATATCTTTTAAAGAGCTTGATAATCAGCTGTTAAGCTTACTGGCAGATCAAATGTGTTATTGTCTGTGGCTTTAATTCATTTAATTCATATAGCTCTAAACTAGTGTGTCTTCATCCAGCTCCTGGGGACCCACAGCCCTGGATACCTACACCTGATCCACCTAAGAGCCCACTTAAAGGGCTTGACAATCAGCAGTTGAGCTGAATCAATTGCGTTGACCCAGTGCTGTGGTTCCCCAGGGGCTAAGTTAAGAAACTTAAGGAACCTAGTATAGGTTTACAGCTACACTGGTTTAAGCAAAGGCTGTGTGATGACCCAACTCTCTATAAGTGCCTTTATCAGTACAAACTGGATCAGTGCCATATGAGCTGAATTAGAGCCATCAGAACAAAACCTGTGCCACATGTAATGAATTGGAGCCACATGGACTGAATCTGTACCATTTAAACTAATTCCTGGCTGCATGAACTGAATTTGTCCCGTATGAACCGAATCTCTGCTGCATAAACCGAATCTATGCCTTATGGAATGAATATTGGCTGCATGAATCACATGAACAATCTATGCCACATGAACTGACTGATTCACTGAAGTTTACTCAAAACCGTTATTTTTTCAGCATGATGAGTTTCAAATAGATTTTAGGTTTTACAGCACAATAGTTGGGTGTTAAGACATCCTGTTCATGGGTATCAACATGCAAATATTGAATGTTAAAACTAGACAAACAAGCAATAAAATAGAACAGTGATTCACTGATTCATATAGAACACACTCATGACTGATTCACGGAGGCTTTGAGGGTCTAGTCAGATTTTCCATGGAAACACAGACTCTCTCTGTTCTCATTTGATCATGCCCTCACCCCCCCCGCCAGCCCCCATTTTGAGCTCTCTCTTTTTCTCTCTCTCTCTCCCTGTGTGTGTGCAATTCATGTTGATCCTGCATTTTTATGGAGTTGAGGGCTGCTGTGCAGATGAGAGCCATTCTCTCAGGGTAACCCAGTATGTGGTAACACATATGTGAGTGGCTTGTTACAGACTGTGCTTTTCTATTCTTGTCATCACAACTATTCAAACACACACACACACACACACACACACACACACAAACATAGTGCCAGCCTATGAGCTTACAAAACTACAACCTTCAGTTCAGAAAAGATGGGACAGTAATGTGGACTGCTAATAAAAACAGAAAACAGTGATTAATAAAATCTGTTTGCCCTGTATTAAATTGAAAACAGTGCAAAAACACATATGTTTTTCCTTTTGTGAATGTTTACCACTATATTATATCACCTTTCCTTTAATAACACTTCACAATCATTTGAGGACTGAACACACCAACAAAAAGTGTAATTTTTGGCCATTCTTCTGTTATAGTCTCCTTCTGCGCAACCATACAGGGCCTTCCTTGATATATTTTGTGTTTCATAATGCACCGTACATTTTCACATGACCCCTGAAAAAGATGTCTAGAAGGCAGCATATGCTGCTTAAAAATGAGTATGTACCTTTCAGTGTTAATGGTGCCTTCACGACTGTGCCAAGTTACGCATGCCATGGGCAGTGACACCTTCCATACCATGACACTAGTTTTTGAACTTTACGCTGGTAACAGAGTGGATGGTCATTTTCTTCTTTAGCCCACTGAACATGACATCCATTATTTCCAATAACAACCTGACAAGGTTGAATCATCAGACCAAAATATGTGTTTCCACTAAGCATCAATCCGTTTCACATGACCTTGAGCCCAGAGAAGTTGGCAGCGTTTCTGGATGTTGCTGACATACGACTTCCACTGTCTATGGATATAGCAACAAATGGAGATTATTGAAGGTTTGTCAGTGTATTCCTGAGCCTACTATGTGGAGTGAAATACCTAAAATCCTTGCAATCATCAATGAGGAATGTTGTTCTTAAACTGCTGGATTATTCACTGATGCATTTTTTTGGGCAAAATGGTAAGCCTCAACCCATATCCTTGGTCATAAAAGAGGCCTTTTGTTTTCATAATTCCTTTTTTACTTGAGCATGGTTGACAAGGTAAAACATTAGATATCTTGTCTTTGTGGTGTTTTTGTTTAAATACAGGTAGATTTACAAATCACTGCTTTCCATTTTTATTTGCATTCACAAAACAATTTTTGGAACTGAGTTTTGCACTCAACGCACCACATACCGATGAAAAACGTTGCCAGTGCATGCACAACAGAAAATAAGTAACCCATTAAGCAACATTATCTACTAAACATTTACACTCACACACACACACAGTCCTTTTTTATCTTACCCGTCTCCCTTTAGGTCCTCGAGTGCCAATGGGGCCGCGTGATCCAGGGGGGCCCTAAACATCAGAGCAGTAAGATTTAGTTAACAGACACAGATACACACAATAACCATGGTTAATGAACTGACTGAAAGATAAACTGTCTGCTCAGACCCTCTCATTCTCTTTCTCACACACACTCTTGTGTACTATGGTGTTGCAATGATGACTGACAGCTGGCTAATAAAATCAAGCTGGAGATGTCAACATTGTTCAACCTCTATTCATCTGAAGACAGCAGAGGGAGACACACAGTTTAGAAGAGGTTCAACTAGGGTTCAGGTTCAAATCCCAGGTCTGCAACTGATCATTTACATGGCTTATTCTCTCTCTGGCTCAATTGTCTCAATTTATAGAAACACTATATGGCCAAAGGTATGCGGACACCCACACATCACATCCATACGTGCTTGTTGAATATCTCATTCCACAATCATATGCACTATAATGGAATCGGTCCATTCTTTTGCTGCCAGCTTCCACTCTTTCGGGAAGGCTTTCTTCTAGATTTCGGAACTTGAATGAAGGGATTCGCTTCCGTTCAGACACTAGGGCAGTAGGGAGGTCGAGCACTGATGTTGGCCCGGTTCGCAGTTGGTTCATAAGGTTCATAAGGGCTCATGGTGTCACTCTCATGCTGAAACAGAAAAAGGGCCTTCCCCTATGTCTTGCCCAAAGTTGGAATGTTGTAGCATTAACATTTCCCTTCACTGGAACGGGAAAGGGGCCCAGAGTAAACCATAACCAAAAGCCCCAGACCATTATTCTTTCTTCACCAAAGTTTAGATTTGGCACTCTGGACTTCGGGCAGGTAGTTTTCTCCTGGCATACACCAAACCCAGAATCATTGGCCAGATTGGCAGGTGATGAAGAGTGATTCATCGCTCCAGAGAATATAAAAACGTAAGTCTAATGGTGGTGTACTTTACACCATTCCAGCCAATGCTTTTCATTGTAATGGTAATCTTAGGCTTGTGTGCAGCTGTTCGGTGACTGCAAGGGGTGTCCACACACTTCTGGCCATACAGTGTACCTTAAAGACACTGCTTAGGCATATCCTGCTCAGGCACCATCATATGTTTCTTTAATCTGCAAGGTAATGCTACAATGACAAAGGCAGCTGCAAATATAATTTATTTTGATCAGTGTACGGTGTATGTGTATAGCAATGTATTTGTCCAAAATGTGCACAAATGTCATTACTGTGACAGCTACCTTAGTGCCAAGTTGTGAAATTAGATCATTAGCTAGGTAATGTTAGATTTCAGGGGTGGGAATGACTAAATGCTGTAGAAGGTTCTGTTACGACTTACTGGTGGCCCTGGTGGGCCAGTCGGTCCAGTCTCCCCAGGTGTTCCTGGATGTCCCTGAGATAGAGAATGTATACAGTTAATTATTAGTTAGTTAATACAATTATTAGTTAATTAATACTAGTTAATATAAGTTGATATATTACTTATAATAATTGCAATTTGTATCTGTAGAATAAGTGTGAGGGAAATACCTGTCCTACATATAGCAACAGTGCCTGCATGTTCCAACCAATGGTCATTATCTATCTGTCATATCTATCTGTGATCCTTGCAGATTCTTTGTCCACTCAAAGACCATCCTCCTCACTGTGTGTGCTGTCAGTATAGACATACATCCTCTTCCTGGCAGATTCTTAACATCTCCAGTTGTTTTAAGCTTCTTAATTGCTGCTCTAAAAATGGAAATGGGCATTTTCAATTGTTTAGCTGTTTTCTTGTTGCCATTTCCTGATTTGCACAGCTCAACAAAAGTCTGCCGCACATCATTGCTGGACTCGCTGGTCTTTCTCATAGTGATGGATGACTGAGGGAATTTGACCTGTGTTTCATCTCATTTATATCCCCCAGCACTGACTATCCAGATAACCAGACTTTTTCCCAAGTAAAACTGAAAAATGGAGATACAAGATACTACAATTACAGACTATAGTCTGTCTGTTTCTCTGCATACTTTGTTAGCCCCCTTTCACCCTGTTCTTCAAAGGTCAGGACCCCCACAGGACCACCATAGAGCCAGTATTATTTGGGTGATGGATCATTCTTAGCGCTGCAGTGGCACTGACGTGGTGGTGGTGTGTTAGTGTGTGTTGTGTGGTACAAGGGGATCAGACACAGCAGTGTTGTCAGAGTTTTTAAATACTGTGTCAACTGTGCTGAAAATATCGCTTATAAAACCACAAGAGCTAAAATTCTGTGTTCTGTCCAGCAACATACAGCGTGTGAATAGCTGGGCTTCAGGCTGGTCCAAAGGGTCAAACTAGGAAAGTACATTAAATGGCAATTAAAACGTATGTGCATGCTGTAACTGTGTGATCTTACTTCAGATCCTTTCTCTCCTGGAGGTCCGGGCAGGCCCATCTCCCCTCGATCACCCTGAAACAGTTACCACACACGCACGCACACGCACACACAATCACACAATCTGTCTTAATCAATGACACAAACCGATTTCCGTACGCTATAATGACGCTATGCAGTGACATTATACACCAATACATACTAGCATATCATATATTAGTATGTAGTTCTATTTTATGTTACAACAGGTGTGACACACGCTTGTGTGTCCCTCACCTTTTCCCCTGCCAATCCAGGCTCCCCCACCGGACCGACAAAGCCAACCAGACCCTACATACACAAACATGTAACATCATCAGCATCATCAAAACAAAGTAGTGTATATCGGTCTATTTGTGGTGTGGGAAAAACTCACTCTCTCTCCCATCGGCCCAGCCTTCCCAGTGACTCCTTGCTCACCCTGAAAAAAATGAGTTACACTGTGCATAAGAGTGCACTATCCTTTCTACCAGCAAAGGCATGTATCTGTTTATTTATTAATTTACTATTTTATTTAGTTATTTAATTTTAAAACACAAACATATTTGAATTTTTATTGCCCCACACTGAACAGACAACCCATCAAACTATTTGGACTTTTTATATTATATGTTTCAATGTTTCATGACTGTTATATGCTCCTTTTTGTAGATTAAATGTCAGTTGTTACATGCACCCAAAGAATAAAAGCTGCTACATGGCCTTGCATCTTAAAGCAACATTGTGTAACAATTTTAGTTTAAAATAACAGCTTCAAAATCATTTAGATGGTGGATTGTGCATGAGATCTTTCTCGAGAACTGCATAGCGCTTTATGACACCACGTCAAACACCAACAACTACGGGTCTTTAGCTAGCCATACGAAGAAGCTAGCTCAGTCTTCCCAGCATGGACGTCATGGCAGAGGCTGCAAAGAGACCAAAGCAGAAGATGCTGTGGGAGGAAGCGAGGAGAAGAAAAAGAGAGAGTGGCCAAGCAAGAGATTGGACAAGAGTAAATCTTGGACCGGATTTTACTTGTTGGCAAGAAATCTAAGAGAGATAAAAGGATGCAAGACAGATGCTGAGCTGGCCTTCTTCCTGGTGGACTAGTAAGTAATAACTTATTAGCATATTACTTATTAGCATATTACATATTACTTGCTCTTTCACTTCTGATGTTGTCTTTGCCGGTTCTGTATCCTTCAGCTTGTCAACAAATGCACTTATACAGCTGTCCATGAGGGGGCTCAAAGTGCAAATTGTATCAGTGGTGTAAAAGTGAATTACACTCCGCAACTGTAGGGGGACCCCAGCAAAAATACCCATTCTTGCATAATGCTGCTTTAGGGTCAGATAATGTATTGGTAATTGTTCCTGACTTTGATGCTCCTGTGGTTTCATTGTGTGTGTGTGTGCGTGTGTGTGTTTGAGATCTAACCTTAACTCCGTCCTCCCCGACTTTTCCTGGGAAACCTTGTTTGCCCATAGCACCCTAAGAAAAGATGAAAGGAGGCAGAAAAAAAGGAGAAAAGGAGAGGAGAAAGGAGGACAGGAGAGCGATCTTAGTACATTTGAACAAAACAACACAGAGCTCTAAATCTCCAGGGCTCAAGTTCCCAAAAGGATCCCAGTGTTAAGATCATCTTCGCTGTGAGAGAGTCTCACACTGGCTCAGTCATCTTTTTTATTTTATGATGTTTTTGGGAAACTCAACCTGGAGCTGTGGCATAAAAACAGATGAATGACCTTGAACTTCCCTGGCTCGGTTCAACAAACGTCCAAAACCCACCAGAACACACAACCAGTGGAATGTAATGATGTGCATGATTGTGTTCTTTGACGACAGCAGCCCCCGACTGTGTGTCTGTGTGTAATGTTGAGTACAAAAGCAGACAAACTGTGGTCACAGCGAACACACTGGAACACGATGAAATACCACTTCCGACATATCACATTACAGACCATACAACGGAGAAACACAAAGAGACAGAGAGAACGAGAGAAAGTAGGGAATGAGGAAAACAGATACCTGAAAGAGCAAAAAAAAAAAGGAAAGAGCAAAGAGTGATGGCAGGCACCCAAAAGCCCAGTGTAACTGCCAGCCAAAGAGGTGCTGGTTCAGAATGAAAAATGAGAACAACAGAAGAAAAGAACCCAAAAAAGTTTGGAATGGAGGTAGACATGGAGAGAGATCAACCATGTTATGTAAAGCATGTTTGAACTTTTTTTCGAACAGTGTTTCCCAAGGAGACAAAAATCCAGCATGTGTTGTGGTCTGCCTGTATAAAGACTGTTATATGCAACTCTGGTAAACCAATTTAACCATTTAGCTCTTAATGATAAATAAATATTGTCATGACAGAAAATAAAATATTTGCATAATTACACGTAGGGCTGTGTTCAGAAATTGATCTGGCTATATACTGTGGATAAGCTTGTGGTGGTAACAGTACTGTGGTGGCTGTACCAACAATTATGAATATACTTTTACACAGCAAGAGTGAACTGATACTGTGTGTTGTGCATTTAGGAGAAACACAACACAGAGTAAAGTTTATTTATTAGCTTATTGAGTGCTGTTGTGTGCTTAAGTGAAGTAAGTTAGTTTCACTGTCGCAGACATGGTTCAGTCTGCAGATGTAGGTATGTTGTGGATGTTAGGTATTCATTACCGTTGTGTAACTACTTATTTTTTAATTTAAACAATATTTAAAAAAATGTCATTCTCTCCAACCTCATGTATTTGTTTATTATAAAACAAAGTATAAATTGACCAGAAAATGTGTTTAGAAAAGAAGGAGCAGGAGTGGGACAGCTGAAGATTCTTATACCTGACAGAACTCTTGACTCAACTTCACACAAACTTGTATGGATTAAAGCCATGTCATGCGGCAGCAATGGATCTCTGTTAAATAATCCTCCACAGATATGGACAGCGTACACTGCGTGTCCAGCTGCAGTCAGATGGTTCACAATGTTTAGAAAACTAAATTCCACCAGAGAAGTAAGACCAAAATGATGTAAGATGATAAGACGAGTGCTCTGGCCACGTTCTCAGAGAAGGACATCCTTCCTGGTTTAGCTCTAACCATAAATTAACAGAACTAATCCAGGTCAGAAAAACTAAATATCACCACCAGGAGTTTTACATTATAACCAGGCGTGTTATTTTAGTGCTGGGCGGAAGCTCTCAGGAGCAGGACTAGAAATACCTGGGCTAGGATCTGGTCAGCCATTTTGAAATTTCAGTTTCTCGCTGTGCCATCTGGTGGTCTAATGCAGATACTGCATGGTTTAATTAGATGGAATGTAATTTTGGTTTTTATAATGCAGAAAGAAAGCAGGGCAATTAAAGTTGCATCAGTGAAAGTAAGGAGCTAAAAACAAACCACATGAAAAGTGTTCAGAATCAAAACGAACACATCCACAAACATCCAAAAACACACAGCCACACCCACTCACACACAAACACGCAAATATGATCAGACCGATCCTCATTTGCATATTATTACTACCTGCCAATCAGAGCTCACCTCCAGTCCTGTCGGTCCAGGTGGTCCAACAGGCCCCTCCTCTCCCTGGTAATAGAAATCAAAATGACTGATCACAACATTTGGATGATGGATTATGTGGTGAAGTTCTCTTTTGCATGTTCTCTTTCTCTTTTTCTCAAAAATATACACACACCTCTAATCCTGGAGCTCCGCGAGGTCCTGGTAACCCTCTCGCTCCTAGTTTGCCCTACGTGGAGAAAACACAAACAGACACAACTTACAAACACAACTTTGGTAGGTAGGTTACAGCAGGCCTACAGTAAGTTTGACCAATATGACACACCAATATGAATCTTATATGGTGTGATCCACTACACGTGACTCAACTTTATCAACAATCTCCCAGCGTTTTACACTTAAAGTCACTTATCAGACACAGAAATGTTCACATAGAGCTTGCATTACATTTGGGTTTTTGATTTCCAGCATTAGCAGTATCATTTGCAATAATGCAAGGCTTTTGTATTTAGAAAAAACAATTTAGCAGTGTCTCTGACTAATGAAGCATTTACCCAAAGCCTCACCCATAACCATAGCAAAACAGCCACTACCACAATTGCTCACAAATTACAAGCATACTAACCTTTGGTCCTTCAGGACCATTTTGTCCAGGTGGTCCGATGTCTCCGGGAAAACCCTGAATTCAATGAAATGGCAAATGTTGTATTGGTTGTTAGTTCATTCACAAATGACCAGATCATATGATTAAAACAAAAATATGATTTAAGTCATACCTCAGGACCTGGAGGACCAGCAACCCCATCAGGTCCTCTCTCTCCTATTTTGCCCTGGAAGACATGCGTGCACACACACACACACACACACACATACACAGTCAGTGTAATCACAATATTGACAGATATGGGTCCCTTGTATACACAAATGTAAACCTTTTAGCCAGAAAGACTGGATCTGAGCAAAAAACATCAGAACTAAACAACAAGCATAGCAATGTAAACGCAGCCTTAGAGACTGTGGGTAAAAACTCACCTGAAGTCCTGGTTTTCCACGTAGACCTGGCAACCCTGGCAACCCCTGAACACCCTGAAACAGGTGGACACGCAGTCAAATTACAGCACTCTTATCTACCCACACACACACCTACATTAATAATACGTTTGTGTGTGAAATATGGTAAATAGCAATTATTCTAAATATACTGCCAGTAAAGTCCATGATTTACTAGACGTATGCCTGCATTTCAAGTCATTCTATTATTCCACTAAACACTGCTGGCGCATGATGCTCTCAGTGAGCAAATCCTCCAATCACTAATTCTGAAAGTTCTTGCAAATCATTTTCATGACATTTTGAAAGTCTGCAAAGTGGCATTGTGCTAAAGGCCACAAAATCAGGCACTGTCAGACACTAAGCTCAGAAAATACATGCATCCAGATCATACACCTTTGAGACATACTAAAGATATTTAAGATTCAATTATATTCAGCCTTTTCGTTTTGGCTATTACTTTTCCTCTAGCTAGTAACCATCTTTGGTTTTATTGGGTTCATCATCATTCAAGGTTCAAATGTGTGAGTAAACCACCTTAGAGGAGGTCTTCTACTGTTCTAGGAGCTAGGAGAAACAATTAACTCTGTATGCCCAAAGATGGTCATTGGTCAATACCATTGTATACCAAACACTACAATGGCTCACACCTCAACCTAAACCCCACACCTTGTCTCCTTTGAAGCCCATCTCTCCTTGATCTCCAGGAAGTCCAACATCACCCTGGGAGAGAGGGAGGAGGGAGAGAGAGAAGAGATAGAGAGAGAGAGAGAGAGAGAATGTGGGAGACAGAGAGGAGAAGGTGATTGAGGTAGAGAGAGCCTTCTTAGTTAGGGAGAATTCATATGTTTTCAAAGTACTTTTTAGAAAGTTGAACCCTATACTCATGCTTAAACGGTTAGCAAGCTTTCACTCCAGATACAGTATCACACACTCAGTTCAAGTGTAGCAAGAGTAACACGCTGTCAATAATCAAGGAATAACTGCCATCAACCAAGACTTTAAAAAGTCAAAGTGTGAATGCAACTGATTGGCTGGAACAAATTCTTGGATCGACAACGACCCTTTGTGGATAGGCTTACCCACACATAGTCTTGCGGGGCCAGACGTGATCTTGTAATGTGACCGTCTGGGGACAACCGTGAAAAACTCTGAATATGGGAGAGAATGTAGACCAGCACAACTCCAGTCCTAAAGGGCCGGTGGGCAGCAAAATTTGGAGGTTTCCCTATACTAACACTCCCACTAAACCAATTAACAGATTGGTGTAATCAGGTGTATCTGAGTAAGTAAATCACCAAACTGTGTTGTTCACCAACCCCCCAGGACCGGATTTGTGCACCCCGGATGTACAGTTATTAGAGTGGGAACAGTGTGTAATTTCGAAACCTGTGCAACACTTCGTGACGGCTCTAACGTAAGTAAGGTTGGCTGAAAAGTGCCCTGGAATAAACTCCAATTAAGCACGTAGGTGTGTTCAGCCACAGGCTCTAAGAACACATTATATGAAATAAAAAAAATACCCCTTGCAAGGGAAAACAGTGCTGTTGGCTGACGATAGCTTTTGTTCACAAGCTTGTTTTGCTTGTGTTATTGACTACATTATGAACGTTAAAGAAGCACGGACAGGTTGTCCCCAGACGTGTATTCTTGTTAGATTGCGTCTGGCCCACAAGACTAACAGACACACATGCACACACATTTAAAACAACTTGACTCAGTTGTAACAGAACTGATATGTTCTGTTGTTCCTCACTGACCAATGGAAGAGCTCTCTGAGCATATTCTATTGGGGAACCCCTGGGTGAACTTTTGAAAGCACATGCTCAATACAGGCTGGTCAATGGGGGAGGAGGGTGGGAGCAATTCCATCACATGCTGCAGAATAACAGGCCAATAAGAGCATTCAGATCACCTTATCACCTTTCAGTCCAGGCTCGCCCATATTCCCAGGAACACCCTGGGGCAAAAGACATAAAACACAGGTTACATACACCCACCTCACATCCACATAACACAACTGGTCTGCATGTGTGACTGAGATAAATCCCAGAGCGATCTCAGAAAAGGGGGAAAATACTGCTATGCTATACTGCCATTTGCATGTGTGTGCAATGCATATGTTGGCTTCTAACCTTCAGTCCAACCAGTCCTGGCAAACCAACTGCACCAGCTGGGCCCATGTCACCCTGGTAGAGGGTGAGAGATTATGTCATTCTTTCAGCAGCACAGAAATATGTTATCCAGTTCTGTTCCAAAAATGGATAATTATTTGGTAAGGTCATTATATGTTCAGTTAATATACTTGGTGATTGAAATCAGCATAATGTAGTACAACCACATCAGCATCTAGGAATTTTATTTTCGATGCCACTTTCACACAACTGCTGCAGGCAGGCATTAAACAAAGCACAAGTTTACAGAATGTGGCAAAATGCCAAATGACACACTTTCACTAAATTCTTTCCAGCTGTTCGAGTTTAAATTAAATTTAAAGATCAGCTGTGTAGAATCTTGCAATTGAATGTCTCCAACTTGAGCTCCAAGTCCAAGTAAATAGAACCAATTCTGTACCATTATTATTGTCTTACAAAGAACAGTGTAGATTTTTTACTGCTTGATTTTCAAGTTCCAATAAATGACAAAAGTCTTTTTATATATTTGACATGATGAGTATTTATGTACTCACAATCAGGCCAGAAACTCCAGGGGGGCCAGGGGCACCAAGAGCGCCCTGAGAAAGAGAAAGAGAGAGAGAAAGAGAGAGAGAGAGAGAGAGAGAGAGTGAGAGAGAGACACTGAAAGTAAAAGGTTTGGATTTTTTTTTCAAATAAGCAAATAGAAGAAAGAGACTCAGTGTTGGTTCATGAGTTTTGTGTGTGTGTGTGTGCATAGGTGAAAAATGGGTGCATGTTCAGAATGAATGGACATATTTGTTTATGTGCTTGCTTGGCACATTAACATATTTGTGTATGTATTTGTGTTTGTATATACAGGAATTGTGCTTTGCTCATTTATCTAATTTATACACAGGTGCATTACTGTGTCTGTGTGTTTTTGACATGTATTTTTGTCTTGTGTGTTAATATATATATATATATATATATATATATATATATAGACATATGTGTGTCTATGCATACCTACTCACACATACAAGTGTGTGTGTGTGTGTGTGCATTTTTATGCATGCATGTTTGTGTGCCGTAGCACACAGAGCTAGTCTGTTGCTGCTCTGCCATGCCGTGCTGAACCCATTTCCTCCGCCATCCCTGGTGTGATGGAAGAATGAAAAGGTTGCTTCAATCCTCCTGTCAGGAACGGAGGGATTGCTGGAGACAGGAAATGAGAATGTGCGCAATGCGGCACTTCCTGTTTCGACAGAAGGCCCGAGACAGAGCGGTGAAAAGGGGGAGGGGCTTCTCATAAATACTTCCTGAGGTGGGGCCCTGTTCAAAAGCATCCCATTGGTGCACAGCTCTACCAAAGTTCCACTAGATGAACTGTTTGTCAGCTCTGCACAGCCACTGTGTTTCACTATTATCAAATATATACGTATAATTCCATTTTAATGAAAAAGTTATGACAAAAGACAAATGACAATAAAATAAAAGCTGAAATGTCAATTTTGTGAGTATATTAATTACATAATGATATTGTGCAAATTAAATTAATGGTCTTACTACTGTTAGTATAGTTATTATTCTTATTACAGCAATGACAATCGGTTTAAACAAAGCAATGGCATTCAACTTATAACTGGTAAGTGCAAATGTTTACATTACACATTACAGAGCTTAAAAGGTGTGAATGCAACTCTGCTGAGCCGCTAAGCTTTTATACAAGCTCATCTCCAGCAAGACAGCTAAAAATGTTTCATATTTATAACTAATATAACTAAAATAGCTACAGCGAGCACGCAATACTAATTGTAGCTGATCAGTGAAACACCAGGGCACAACTTTGTGTCTTTATAATGTCTATATAATATTAAATAATATTCAAGGAGGTCTTTTGCGCCTTGTCTAGGGGAACTTCACTCTAAAAACCAAATGTACTGCTCCCTCCACAACCCCCCATTTTCAAATACATAGACATATTTTACAACTTTACAACTTTTTACAACACAATATAAACGCATTGACCACTATTATCCTGTGACAAAAAGGAGATGAAAAATCCAGGGGAATAAATCCCAGAAATGCAGCAATCCAGATGAAACATCAAAATTACTTAGATGTAAATTGGTAAATATGTAAAATTAGGTGTGATTACTGTATATCATTTGAACAAATTGCTAGCATATGACAAAAAGCATGTGACAATTAATATACACACACAATGTATGTATACACATACATACACATTGAGTGTAGGTGTATTTGTTCAAATGTGTGTGTTTGAAAGCTCAGTACTGTGCAGGTGTTTATCGGCGTTAAATATTTGTTGTCATTCATTGAACTGTATACATAAATGCAAGTGTACTGCTGTGTTTTGCTTCTCTACACATTTGCTGTATATATACACAACTCACATACACATACACAGAGAGAGAGAGTACAGGTAGAACATTTCCAAAGGTCTATGTGTCCCTAAACTTAAGCCATGTGTGTATGTGTGTGTGTTTGTACTTAAGTGATGTGTTGGCTAATGGAAAACTGAGCACAGCCAAGCGTGCTTTATATCAGAATGTGGTGTAAAAAACAGTAGTCCACATGCTGGAGTCCTATTAAAGTCATCAATAATTTCCACAACAAAGCACACACACACACACACACACACACACTCCCTGCCTAGGCATGTTTTGGGGTACAGACCAGACACATATGCCTTTCTCATTATCTCCTGTGTGTGTGTGTGTGTGTGTGTGTGTGTACAAGCGACTGTGGGATGTTGTTGTCTCCCTCAGTCTTTGGTCTATTTTAAGAAAAAGTGCTGACAGACTAAAGGAAAGAACACAAACAGAGAGAAAGGAAAAGTACAAGTGACTGATTAAGAAAGAAAGGAAAAAAAGAAATCACTGAGGGATAAGACAGAGAAAACAAAAAAAAGACAGACAGGCAGACAAAGAAAAAGAAATGAAGAGAGAACTGTAAAAGAGAAAGCAAACGAAAACAAGAGGGGGTCTCACTTACTGGCTCCCCGTCAGCTCCTGGTGGTCCCCTCTCACCGAAATCTCCTGGGAAGCCCTGCAGAGAGAGAGACAGAGTGATGGAGTGATAATGAGAGAGAGACAGAGAGAGAGTGACAGACAGCAAGTGATAGAGAGAAAGTCAGAGACAGCAACAGAAAGCAGATCTGAACACCATCATCCATTTATCTCTCATGTAGTACCACACTTCGGTACAGCACTCACACACACACACACACACACACACACACACACACACAAATATGACTGTTCATGCTACAGCCAAGCCGTCAGTGTGTGTCCAGTTTCACGTATTTTATTTTGCGTGTTTGTGCACCAGTAACAACCATACATCCACGTATGAACAGGGAGACAGAGTGTGTGTTCTCTGCTGATGACACCATTCTTACAATGGACGGAGACCTGCTGACACAGCAGGCTTGTGAGGGTCAGGGGTCAGAGGTCAGAGATCATGGCGATGGTGTGTTTGTGTCTGCTTGAGAGCCGACAGACGATCTATACAGGGTGTCTGCAGGCATCAACAGGTTATTTTTCCAAGCAGCATCAAATGTGATTTAAGACCAAATTCAAATACTCAAATCACGATTGTGGCATTCGATACGTGTTCTGGGATAAAAAAATGCAGTGCAACAATGAAACAACAATGAAATGCTGAACCTTTTTAAAACGTCTGGAGAATAGGACTGCTTGATTATGGCAAAAATCATAATCACGATTATTTTGGTCAACACTGAGATCACAATTTTTCAACACGATTACTCATCAACTTTGGAAACATCATTTAAGCAGTGGATTTTCTTGAACTTTAAATATAATTTAACTGAAAAACAAATAAAAAATGTACAAGAATTCTAAATAAATAACAATATATTAATTAAATGTATAAATATTTTATATACTATATAAATATGTTAACAATTTTTAAATAATAAATAAAAATAAACAAAACAAAAATAAATTAGATGAGTAGGGAGGGGTGTAAGCTCACTGCTCTAAAGGAAAGAGATGATAATGTATTATTTTATCTCGATTATCTTGTTTTCATAATGGTTGAACTTGATTAATCACCCAGCCCTACTGCAAACTGTAAAATTTTGCTTGTATTTGCAATTAAGTATATTATAACTAAATGTGCACACATATGCATCTGCACACAAGCACATCTATGGTCAGTAAATACCTTTCTTAGCATAGATATGCAAGAATGTGTGTGAGGTTCTGCAACTAAATACATAACGTTTTATAGCATCACTTTACTTAATTCAAACTGTTCTGAATTATAAAAAAAAACTCTACAAACCATTACATATTGATTTTTGGGACACATTTTTGGGATGGACATCAGAAATAACTATTAAATAACAGTATTTAAAAACATGCTATTTTACTGATCACTATTAATGGTTGCACTAAGGATACGACTAGAGAATGATTATATTTCTGAGGTCCTGGAACATAATTTGGATCTGAAAGGGTTAAAGCAGACAGAAACTCCAGTGTTAGGACATGACTAACCCATTTACGTCTAAAGTACAATAAGGAAATTAGCCATAGATTTTTTCTGTTTGACAAAAATTTTTCATCAAAGATTTTTCATCAGACCATGTGGGACTGCCAATGCAAACAATGTCTGAAAATTTTATTAACCCTTATGTTTCATATTTCAGTTGGTATTGTGGAAAAACAAGGAGAAATGTGTAAAAATTGATGTAGTCAATGATTTCTCTCACATACATCACATATATCTGCAAGTTACCCATCACTGTCATTTTACTTTGCAACATTTTTATTACCACCTAACACACACAAAAACACACACAAATTATATTTATATATATTTCAATGTGAGGCCATTCTCTATTAGGACAACTGGGTGTTTCTCTTGAATCCTCCTTTTTAGTCTTTGTTTTTACAATTTTCTTCAAACACATAAACACACACGTGCACACACAAACACACACACACACAGACACACAGCCTTCCTAGAGTTGTTTATGGGGACAGACCAGACACTGGAGAATCTGTTCTCACATATGCGTTTCTCATTACCTCTTTTGTGTGTGTGTGTGTGTGTGTGTGTGTGTGTGTGTGTGTGTGTGTGTGTACAAGCTTCTGTGGGATGTTGTGACAGACTGACAGAGAGAATGCAAAGAGAGAGAAAGAGAAAGGAAAAGAATGAGGGGCTGAGGAAGAGAGGAAAATAAACAAGGAAGGTGAGGGCTAAGATAGAAAAACAGAGAAAGAGATGGACAGAAGAAGGAGAGTTAAACAGAGAAAACAGACAAAGAAAGAAAAAACAAAGGAAGGGGGAACTGTAAAAGAGACAATAAATGATTTCACGCTTTCCTTTAAAACACACAATCATACACAATACAAATGCACATGACCACACAACACACACACACACACACACAACAGACATACATTCCAAGCAGAACGTCTTTACTTTGTTCTTTCTTTTCCACACAAACACACACACTCTTAACTGGTGGTTGCTTAGTGTCATATTAGGCCCTTCTGATTAATTATATACAGAATTACAAAAGGTAAACTTAACTTGTATTTACACTCACTGTCCATTTTATTAGGGTCATCTACCTTATAGCTCCACTATTTAGATGTAAAATTACGGACTGTTTATCAGCCTCCTCTACCCCTCTCATCACTGATCAGTTTCTGACCGCAAGCCTGCTATCGTCCAGATATTATTTGGGTGGTAGTCCATTCTCAGCACAGCACCGATGCTGACATGGTAGTGTGCATGGTGCTGGAGTGCACTGGTCACAGCGTTGTTGTTAAAATCTTATACACCATGTAGCCTGCATCTACTGGATGCACCTACATTGTTGGTACATCTTGTAAATGTACTATAAATGTATCTCCCTTCATGGATTGTGTTAGCCATCCTCTAGACCTTCATTATACAGGATCACTGTTTGCTAAATATTTTTGGGTATTTGGGGACCACTTTGAACCTAGCAGTGACACCTCAGCATCAACACTGTGTCTGATAAACTCATACCAGCCCATACCACTTGTACACTACTATTTCACTACAATGTCAGTGTCAGTGCTGTTCTGAGAATGGACCACGACCCAAATAATATCTGGATAACAGCAGCCCTGTGGTCAGAAACTGAGCAATGATGAGCAGGGTCGAGGGGGACTGATAAACTGCGCAACAGATGAGCTATAGTCTGTAACTGTACACCTACGTAATGGACCTAATAAAATGGACAGTGAGTGCAGATACAAAGTGTAACTTCAGGTAATTCTGTATATAATTGTTTAGAAATATTCAAAAAGGCCTCATATGACACTAAATAGTCACTCATTGTATGTGTGTGTGCGCGTGTGTGTGGAAAAGAAAAAAAGTTAGCAAAGTTAAAAGAAAAAAGAAAAGTAAAGAAGTTGCGCTTCAACGGCTTGTGTGTGTGTTTGGCGTATGAGTGTCTGTTTAAAGATAAGTGTGATTGGAAGACTAAAAAGGAGAATTTAAGAGAAATAGACTTAAGAGTTGTTTTCCATTGAAATGTATAGGATTCTCCAATACAACATACACTCTCTGTGTGTTCTGTGTGTGTGTGTGTGTATGTGTTTGTGTAAGGTGGCAATTTAATGTTGATGGTGATTTGTTGAGATATTGGCCCATTTTATCATTTCATTAAAATTGGCCAAATTGTGATAAACATTAACGTTTGAGGAAAATATGTAAGCTATACAAAAAATAACCCTCTTGGACCAAAGACTAAACAAAGAACATTAAGAAAATCGGACAGTGCAGCCAAACTGTCTGACCATTTTTGATTTTATTGTCAGATTTGTGCTCAGTAGAGAGCTAAGAACCGCTCTAGTAAACGAAATTTAAAAATTCCAGTATGGACATGAATGGGTTAATGAGATAGAGGCAGTGCAGGTGTATCGCTAACTGTTTTAAAATGGTCTAGCTGATGCTATCTAGAACCAAAAAACAAAAGACATTTCTGCTCTCAGTGTTACCCTAACAAACAATCATGTTGGCACTTCATCCACTGTGGACAAAAAACCTTGTGTAGATGCCCACGAGTCGTCACAGTCTAATGCAGCTCTAATATTAGCATTAGCTCACAAATAAATTAATACTCACTAAGGCCTTATATTTGTAAAATATGAACACACACACACAGACCCACACACATACACAAACACACACAGACACACACAGACACATGCACACACATGCACACACACATGCACACACTAGGATAAATCACTTCTAAAATACAAAAAACACAAAACCTTTTTCTCTTTCTGCTTCTCTCTGTCACACTCAGTCACACATGCACATACACACACTTAATAAAGTATGTTAAGACAAAACATTACCGGCGTACCCATCTTGCCCCTCTTCCCTGGAGAACCAGGACTACCCTGAAACCAGAGAGAGAAAAAAGAGAGAGAGGAGAGAGATATTGACATTAAAATATTAGTTAGTTGCATTGGGTTTGTTACATACACACTACCTGTACATTGTTTGGGTAATGCAGAATGTTTTCATTTCAGCAGCCATGTTATCAGGCCAAAGAGTTCACGTCGTCTGCATAATGCTGCAGTACATCCCAGACGTGTCGCAGAAGCAATGTGGAATCTAGAGAGCAGGCCTCAAGCCCATTTTTTCCATTTACTGCAGGCAGCATGTAGCAAAATGCAGATAACTGAAATAAACAATGAAATCAAAATGAAAAAATGCCAAAACATGAATTCCACAAACAAAGGCTGCTGTAAAACAAAACAGAGTTACGGAATACCAGAAATCTGGGGGGGGGACCATGCCCAACACTCCTCCTCCTTACAATCTCTATAAATTCCCACCTCCACCTTCCGTTTCCTGCCTTTTTTATATCGTTTTCACAGTCTCTGCCACTACCCCATCTCCTCCTACCACCATCCATATACGTGGGGGACCAGCCTTCTAGCTCCATGCAGGAGCCCTTTTAACTCTAGCCCAGGTTCTCAGAGTTCTCTCCCCTCATACTACCACCATACATTGCACTGTCTGAACTAGCAAAACATTAGCTACACATTTCATACTACATACACACTTTCCTGTAGACCTACAGGCTTGAAAACGATTGCCCTATTACAAGTCAGAAAACTGAAACCAAAGCTAAACAAATACAACATTCCCTTTTACAAATGTTCTTTTTATTAAGCAAAATAATTGATTTGGTTATTTATTTATTTGGAAAAAGAACGTAGGTAGAACTTGGTTAGAAACAGTGACAGTTTCCAGTAGAGACCTTTCCGCAGTGCGAACACATGCAAGCTGTAGCAGTCTCATATAACACAGAGGTTCTATGTGTAAAACAGGCCTTAGTGTGTGAGCTAATGGTTTTTCATTAGAGTGGCTTAGCAGCCTGTGAAGTTCAGCGATGTAAAAACCTCAGTATGTGTGTGTGAGTCAGTGTGTGAGTGTTTGTTTCCGTTATCATATGACTCATCCAAACTCCCCCAACAAAATTTCAGAGTCATCCCACATGTACCTCCCACTCAACACACACACACATGTAACAGCATCATTACCCTGTGAACCCTCATTTCAGTGAATTACACCCTTCAGCCACTTTATCAGAAACCCCTCCTGTGCCAGGTGGCCGACCCCTGGACATCTACGACAGCCAGGAGAGGCAGCAGGAAGCCAGTGGCTGAACCCTGTGCAATGACAAGAGCCACGAGAAATGGCAGGAGGACCAGCCACAACAGCCACAAGAGGCATAAGGACGCCGTCCGAATCCTGATCCACGCCACTGTACTAAGCCTGATTTTTGATTCTGGTGACCAAGTTGTGGAGCGGAGGCGGTGATGGGGAGGCGGAGCAGCGAGCATGCTCTTTCCCTTTCGGTTCAGGTGCTTGCGTTGCCCTTAACCTCTTATGCTCCGGGGTATATTTTGGTTTGTCAATCTGAATTTACATGACCAAATCTTAAGGCAAATTATTCAGTAACTGCATGAAATAAATGCAAATTTTTATTTTATTTATTAATTAATTTTTTTGTAAAAGCTCCCCTCAAATTAACAGAAAATGTGTTTTATGATCTACCCATTTGCTATATGCTTACAATTTACTGCCAAATGCCAAAAATCTTAGAGGCTCTTTGTATTATTTTGTAAAAATAATGTTTACAGAGCAGATCACTGAAGAGACGCCATCTGTTTATAGTTTATAGCCCAGATTTGAGGAAAAACGGGTCGACTTTCAGCTTCTTCTATTATAAGAGTTTAAAACTACATTACTCATCTATTTGACTGGAAAGAAGTAGAAAATATGCTTAAAAGCTGAGAAGCTTCTGTATGAGAAAAGGACTAAAAAGTCTAGCTAGAAGCCACTGAAAAGTGGTGGGTCTTCGGGTTTTTTTGGTTTTTGTTTTCTGTTCTGTGAGAAAATAAAAGGAAAATGCTTGTTGCAACTGTCCCACCTGCCTCTAGCGTCCTTCTTCCTCCCGGGGTAGCACATGGTGTGCTACACCTCCCTTTTACCTCCACCGTGCTGGTGTGCTGTTTGAAAGTGTACCTCAGCTGTTGATGCATAATTTGTGCCCTTCAGTGATCTGGTTCTGAGCACAGAGCCACTCTCGGTTGGATATTTATGTGGTGGACCACTTCTAAACCTAGCAGTGGAGTAAAAATCCCAGAAACTTCAATGTGTCTGATGCACTCTTACCAGCAGCACACACACAACCATGTCAGTGCTACTACTGTGCTGAGAATGGACCACAACCCAAAAAATATCTGGTCAACATTCGGTCGATCTGGTCCTGTGGTGACAAATGACGAACGGGGTAAAGGAGGTAAGTGGCCAGTGAAGTACAAAGGAAAAGTGTTTAATAAAGTGCACAGTGTATATTGACTGGCACAGTGAGGCATGTCAAATATGAAATCTTTCTCACTATTTAGTCACGCGCGCTGTCCGTATGAGTATAGAAGCAATATAAATATAGAAAAGAGAATAAAACTCACTCTTTCACCATCAGGTCCAGGTAAACCAAAAAGGCCTGGGATCCCAATAAAGCCCTGCAGAAAAAGAGAGAACACAGAAACAAAACAAAAGAAAATGCTTTGAGACCACATGAATAATCACATATATTAGCAGGTCAATAAGAAGAGATGCATGAAGAGTGGGATGGACAGATGAACAGATTGACACATGGGTGGATGGGTGGAAGTCTCACTGGAGAGGTAGAGGTAGGCCTTGAGGAAAGTGTATATGCCCATGGACTGCATGGTGCTGGCCTCCACAATGTAGTCCAAGGGCACATACCCTCACACCAGGGATACACACGATGACTCACGGCAACTGTGGAGCGGAAATACACATGCACAAGCTAATGTATGAGCACGCACGCACACACACACACACACACACAGATACACACAAACACAGAAAGACACATACTTTCTATACTAACATCCTGAGTAATGTTGACATACAGTCTGAACTACTCAAACAGCAACTCACAAACAGTAGAATGCAAAGACAACAACAACCCTGACTTTAAAATGAAACACTATGGTAAAGCTCATACTATGTATGGTGTACCAATTAGAGGTTGCCAGTGTGTGTATGTTTGTGTGCATGCGTATGCGTGTGTGTGTGTGTGTGTGTGTGTGCATGTCCAGGGAGGTGGGGGCTAAAGACAGCAGGGCCTCAGTCTGATTTTAAACAGGAAATTCCAGTCAGTGTGGGCGGAGCCAAGTCTGATAAAGAGCTTTTAATACAGCTCAGCTACAAACACGACTGTGTGTGTGTGTGTGTATGTGTGTACACAACATTTTCCATATGCGCTGGAACAGCGATGACTGCAATACGAATTGCATTTGTGTACATGAAAAGGACACAGACCTGAGGGTACCCAGACGCAGTTTTAAGGCTTTGACAGCAGTCAGGACAATTTGCTATGGTGTAGTCTTTACAGTATTGGCGGACAGAGAAACAGATAAAGTGAGAGAGAAAAAGAAAAGAAGAATAAAGAAATAAAGTAATAAAAGCTCTACAATAAAGTCAGGCTCAAATTGCTTAAATTTAAGAGCCACACAGAGGGGAGGAAAGACCTACACCCTGTAATAACCACAGAAAACAGGTCCATCGCTCAGCACCCACGCAACCCCGCAAGCAGCCTTGCTTTTTATTGCGGCTTGCCAGGTTGTCAAGGTTACAGCACGGGCAAAACACTACAGGTGTGCTAAAGGAAGTGATGAAGGAGGCAGAGCTGAACTCACCCGCGCGCCTTTTGGACCACGAGGACCTATAGGACCAGGAAGCCCCTATGAGAGAGAGAGAAAGAAAGGGAAAGAGAAAGAGGAAGATTAGTGACATTACAATGTTTTTATTTATTCAATCCAAATGATCTCACAAAGCAAGATGTCTTGCCTAACCAGCTAACTTTAAGCTTAGTTCGGCATAACTCTGGTTTTCTGTCTCAGTGGATCACTTTTTACTGGGCTTATGCTGCACACCCAAACTTCTCCAAGACAGCTCAAGGGCCTGGCTTCTGACCAATCAGGTACAGTCGTTTGATGGAGGTAGACCCCTCTGGTTCTTTTCAGGTCTTTTTTTTTGCAACAACCAAAAAAGTCTTTCTTTGTTATTGTTAATTTGCTGGATTTACTACAATATATAGGGAAAACAAAGGAAAATAAATAAATACAAACAAAAACAAACAGAAAAACTCATTCTAACAAGCAACAGAACTGCAAGCTAGTGTAGCATATGTTGCATATGCATATAGTCATACATTTACCTACCCTGAAACACAGATCATTGAGTCTCTTTTATTTCAGCCGCATCTGCACGGATCACTAAGCTGTTTGATGAGGATTTGCATTGTTAACTGTGATCTGTAGGATTCTGTCTTAATCTTTATCCTTTTAGCGATATTTTAGGGCCTTTTAATGTTTATAGTAGGAAGGAAAGATTAATCTCTTTACATCAAAATCGAATTTTCAGAGAGTGAAATTTTTAATTTTTAATTTTAACTATAGCCTGCATTATCAAAAATGTTACTGTAAGTTTTAAGTGGAGAAGCTTAACCTAATAACACAGAGCTTGTGTACTGCTTGTAGATAAGTTAGATCAATCAGAGGCAATCAAACCTCCATGTGTTATGATATCACAACCACAACCTACTGGCTGTCTGGCACACTACGTTTAGGGATCAAGCCTCAAGCCAAAAAAAGGGGATATTCATGTCTTCTTGGTAACAGGCCTAAATCTCAGTTTATAGAAAATAACTGCAATTTAAATCACAGTCAAAATATTAGTCAGAAACAACAATTAGAAATTTTCCTGAAATCGTTCAGACCTAGTATGTAGCCTTCAAATGCATACTGGAGACCTTTGTGCCTAAATCATCTACCTGATTCACTGAACATTTCACAGTGAAAAGTGGGCTCAAATGCTTGTCAGACAAAGAGCAAGGCTTAGCAACGGGTCACATACGTATTTGTTGCAATCTGTCTGGGAATTAAGGAGTTTTTAAGCTGAATTGTGTTTAAGAGTTGCATTTGTATGGGAACTAGGGTTGAATAGGTCATTTTTGGGTCATTTTTAAGAACAGTCACGGGTCTGTCATTTTAATACTGTGGTTGCTCCTAATGAAAGAGTAGCAGAGAGTAATTATCAGCTCAATTAATCTGTGTTTTCAAGCAATGAATTATATATGAGGAATTTTCCTTTCCAATCTGCAAGTTTTTTTTTTTTGCCCTTTCCTTAGTGTAAGATATCTGATCATCCAGTGTTTCCGCAGCCTGCCACTGCAAAATTATTGCTTCAGAATTTTATGAAATGTCATGAAATCACAATTACAAAACTTTACCAAGGACTTTTAATTTGAAACAACAGATACAGGAAGTGGAGACACCTAACCCAGTCTTCCCATGCCTATGCACCTGATAAGAAAAATACAGCTGGGGTTACACTACACAACTTTTACCCTGATTTTAGCCCTGATTCTCAGTCTGGCTGAGTCTGTACAGTTAAGAGAGGAAACCGAATAGTGTGCGAGGGATGCAGATTCCGATTTTTTTCCGATTTCAGACCGGTCAGAGAATATTTATGATACACCTTTGAGCACAATCTAGTCGTGTATACTGGTCTTTAACTCAATCTGAAAGAACAGCCAATGAAAACTTAAAGCATGAAAGAAGTAAATACAGTGAGTTAATGTACATCTAAAACTAATATTACCAGACTTATCACATTTTAACATCCACGATCCTCATTTAAATATGTTAACCTGCTGCTTCTTTACAACAGCAACAGCAGCTGCTCCAGGTTTATTTTTTATTTGCGTCTCCTAGTAATGGGAGAACACATGAGTTCATCAGAGTTTAGTGAGTTCGGTTCGGTACACAACCTAAGTTGTTTAACGCGTGATCCCCAATATTTCAGTCGCCCAAAAAAATCTGCCGATACCGAATAGTGTGAGATGCCCAGTGTAATTCTAATCTGTTAGAGTGAAAAGAGAAAGGTAGACTAAAGTAGCTAACGTTTAGTTAGACAAATTTTACAGTTTAAAAAGAACATTTGCAATGTAACATTATTCTCTATTGATGTTCTGACTAATTATTATTACTATTTTTATCATTATTAATATATGATAAGCTAATGGTCCAGCTAACCTAATATTCATGTTAGCGAACTAGTCAATCATTGGTGGAGGGGTGGAGCGTGGGCCTGCCATCCTAGAGAAAACACTGTCATCAGTTAATTACCAAGCCCTTCATAAGTAAACTGAGCATGGCGTCAACAGGACTAGAACTGGGATCCAATGCTTTAGAGTAAATTCCTACTGGGCTTTGCAGTGCGAAACTTTCTGCTTGAACAGAAGCAGTACTCTCTGCACATTCTCTCTTTAAGCATTTCAGCAATAAAAGGAAGAGGAAAAACAATGGATAAACATTTGATAATTCCATTAAGGGTAAAAGTGCATGAAAGGAACTTGATTCAATGATCACAGAGTCTTCCTATCACCACCATTATGAATTCAAGATGCAGAAATGAACAGAGAAGGTTCTGCCCAGGAACTTTTGGTTTAACGCTGACTCAGTTCCAAACTCCAACAATAAAAAACAGGATATTTAAAACAGGTCTGAAATGTCTAAACATTAAAACAGTTAAAGAGCTAAATGCAGCTTTAATCCAGTTGTTACTTCCTCTCTGAATGTGCAAACATCCTGATCTTTAAACAGGCTGTTTCTGGTTACACTGGACTAAATCTTCTGATGCTGTCAAAAGTAACACATCACTAAAGCATTTACAAGTAAAATCTCTTCTATAGAATGGGTATGGCAAAGAGATAAACATCAGTACACATATACACAGACACGCACAACGGTCACACACAGACAGACACACAGACACACATGCACTAAGCATACAGTGGTCATGCACTTACAAATAGACCAACTCAGAAACAGACTGTCACAGTAAGGCACACACACATACAATGGACGCATACAATTGCTAGGCACTCACGATCAGACACAGACAGACAGAGAGACACACACTTCACGGCAAAAGAAGATCTACTGCACCTGCCTGCCAGGATAACCTTTGGCACCAGGACTTCCATCAGGCCCTCGTTCACCCTGCAGAGAGAGAGAGAGAGAAGGACGTGGGCAGAAGTTCAAGTTAAGAAGTTTAAGTACTTACATTTGCACAATTTTACTGTATAACACATCAGCAAAAGTATGGGTATTGATATTTAGGTACACGGTTTGAACTGTGCTCATCGGTGGGTTATAACTACTTGTTAACTATACTTGTTAACACTACTTGTTAGCAACATTAACCCCAAAGCACTGCAATACTAAAGAAGCAAACTTAACCAAACTTTTTCTTTAATAAAACACTTCATAAACAGTCAGAGTAAGCTTCGTGTGTTTGTGCATTTGTCCCTGTGTGAGTATATGTGCATAATGTGTGTGTGTATAGTGTGTGCGGGTGTGTGTGTGTGTGTGTGTGTGTGTGTGTCGGTCTGTCTAGTGGCAGGTGTTTGTGATCCTCCTTGGTGATGTGCTCAGCCCGCTGTGGGAATAGAGGGGGCGGGACGAGAATGACACAATTCTAGTGAGTGTGTACGTTGGAGTCTTTGTGATGATCTCTCCTAGTTGTGTGTGTATGTGTGTGTGTGTGTGTGTGTGTGTGTGTGTGTGTGTGTGAGAGAGCATGTCAAAGACAAAAAAGAGAGAGCGAGCAAGAGACGATTTTGAGGGTGAAGGTCAGAGAAAAATTCTACTCAGCAACTGCTGGAATCTGTACATGTGCATGTGTGCGCATCTGCTTATGTGCATTCTGTTTATGCATCTGTATGTGTGCATGTGTGTACATGAATGTGAGAGAGAGACTCACTGGTTCTCCTGGGAGGCCAGGTGGTCCAGGATGACCTTTCTGCCCCTGTAAACAAAAAAAAATATGAGTGATACCCTGCAAACACATTTCTGCAGCTAATACCGCACAACTGTCTAAATGAATCTTTGAATTGTGAGAAATGTTCAACTTCAGCACTGGTACATCAGACTGATCTAAGCAGAGTTTTCAAATATATGGACAAATGCAAATAATCAATGCACACAGACACACACATTTTGCAGCAAACATGCCCGCTGAGGACAACTCCATCAATGATCACAATGAGTCCAGACTTCAACATCACTGCGTGTGTTTGGTATTACTTGGATTAGGAGAAACGGAAACAGCAACTTCTAAGACTGAACTTTGGAGGTGTGGAAAAATATCCCTGCAGATTTCTTTAAAAACTGAAAGTGAATCTCCTGAAAAGAATGGATGCTGTAATAAGGACAAAGAGTAGACACATCAAATACAGAAAAATGATACCGATATATTTAGTTGAGGCTTCTGTTTAATAACTTGGTTACTGACAAACAAATATAAATATAAATATATATATATATATATATATATACACACACACACATACACACACAAAGTTTGTGTGTGTACGCATTTTTTTAAAGTCACAGTTCCTGTGGACTTTACAGGGACAATGCAGGATTGTGCTGACTAATGAAAAGCCCATAGAGAGGAGGTATGTGTGTGTTTCCCTTCAGTGGTTTTCCATGAACCCTGAACATGCTCTTTCTGAGGCCGCTAGTCCAGATAAACCCTATAATAACATTTCAATCGTCTTAAAATAAATACATCTGTGTCTATTAATATTATAATCATTCTAAAGCAATAGTTTGGTGAAAAATCTAATTTACCCAAATTTCCTCTTACCTCAACTGCAGTCCATCAGCCAAGACATGTCTCTGGCTGATTTGCTGCATTTGGGGTGAGGGGAAAAGAATTATAAATTAGACTTCTTTCCAAAGTATCCCATTAACATGGCTCTTTAATAAACTGTAAGTAACTCTTAAATTATGCTAAAATCATACTCTTCCAAGAGTACAGTCAAGGTCGCAGTACACTAGCGGTTGCTTAAGGATAAGCGTAAACAGATGGAGTGTGGTCTGTGCTAGAAGTTGACTGGACAGTTCCATATTTGCGAAAAGAGCAAGCAAATGCCAGTCATAAAACTGCCTGTCAGCATCACCTTAGATGCTTGCCAGTGTGGCATGACTTTACATTTTTTGCCTTTGCTTCAGTGTCCTCAGCTTAAATATGGGCTGTTGTGACATTTTATTTTTAGAAACTCTTTAGGTTCGCTGGCCAAATAGTAAAGAGATCAGTGTTTGATTCACACGCATCAGCGCCACCTAGTGGACATCTCACATTGCACACACTCTTAATCCACTTGTGCATCTCGGTATGTACACTGTATGTTTCAATACAATGTAAAGGTAGCCACGAATGTCTGTGTGTGCTGACAACAGAGGGAGAGAGATGCTGTAGTGTAAAATGTGTAGCTAAGCCTTGGCAGGACTCTCTCTGACCCAACAGCATCTGGAGAACAATTCAGATCCAAAACATGCTGCTTACACACACTCAAACATGCACACACACTCCTATCAGCCAAGCCTGTGAAATTACAACATTTTGTGCAGCTCTTTCGAGGGATGTCTGTTTCCCTCACTAGTGCTTTCCATGGAAAATTCTGAGGCCATTCTCATATCAAGCCAGCCAACACACACACACAACTCACCAGCAGTCCATAATTGTACAAGCAGCACATATCTAATCTCAATCAGCTGTAGGGCAGCTTTGCGTGCTTAAAGGAAATCACCAATCTCACGATTCACTGACCAAAAATAGCTGACTACTACATCTCACAACAAATGCAAATGTGCCAGTACTAGTCCACTAGTACAATCAGTTCTCTGTCTAATAAGTGAACTCAGAACTAAGGTGCAGGCCTTGCTGACACAAGTGGTAAACTGTGTACACACTACAAAAAATCGAAATCTTTAAATAGAATGGGACACTCTGGAGTAGCAGCGCTGAGCCTAGCCCACTGGGCCCGTGGGAGAGAGGGGTATACAGCCCCCCAGCGCCGGGTTGTGGAGCAGTGGAACTGTGTTGTCTGGAGTGCTGGAGCAGCGGTCATGATCCAGAACTTATCGTCCAACACCAGTGACCTCACTAATGCTCGTGTGGCTGAATGCAACCAAATCCTCATAGCAATGTTCCAACATTTAGTGTAAAGCCTTCCCAGAAGCGTAGAGGCTGTTACTGAGGCAAAGGAGGACAAACTCTCTAATAATATCCTTCATTTAGGGTATTAATGAGCAGGAGGACATATAGCATATCTGCTGCTACTAAGTACCAACTTTTCTGTTTTACTCCCCGGATGGTTTTATGCCAGAAGCTTTTACGCCTCTTAGTTCGAAAGTGTTTATTTTGTTTTTTTCAAAGTCAGTACGGCAATTTTTTACTACAAACAACTGATCTGTCAATTCCGGATAAGGTGAAGGTGAAGGCCAGTGTATGTGTATCGTGAGATATCAATCTAGGAACTGGTAACAGGTTTTTTTTACAGCTGAACTGCCGCTCAGCATAGACCACACATGCCAGGTCAAATGTTTTTAGATAAGTTGACTAAAATAGGCTTTGTGGGAGGAGTTCTGTGAAGCAGCCTTGGCCTAATAAATTAACAGTACCTTGTGATGCAAAGATCAAACAGCAAAAGTCCAGCAGTCATCGTAGTAGATCCACACTAAACCCCTGCCCCCCCACACACATATACGCAATGTTAGCACATTCTCTAACTGACCATCTTCATAGTTAGACGCTGGACAAGCCATGACCAAAACAAGGCTCATCTCCATGGCGACAGGGGACATAAAAACATTGTTGGATTAAATCAGATCTGCCAGTGTTGTGTGAATTGTTCCAGATCGCAAATGCATTATCGCTGTGACTCAGGCGTATGTTTTATCTGTGGATGAGTTCAGCTGCACACACATTTGGGGAGCACTTATGTTCTGCTCAGTACTACAAAACTCTGTAGGTGGTTTTAAGCTTTTGATGATCTGAAATAATCTGCTGTAGTTCCAGAAAAGCTAGCTGAGTTTTAGAACATCTCTTAATGGCTACTGTGTTCCACTGCGCGTTCCAGATCATTTCCAGAACATTAAACTGTTTTAGCGTCTCCATTTGGATAGGCCCAGTCCATTCACGGCCACTCCATCACTCTACCGTTTATTATTTCATTCCTGTGTTCCCACACTCATCCCTCCGTTCAACCGTTTGCTGTGGTCTGTCCGCTTTCCACCGGCTCTTTTATACATTCTGATGTCTCTGTCTGCCGCCTTGCACACACAACCAGAAACATATGGGGCCAAGAGGGTGCCAAGCGTTCAAAAACACACACACACACACACACACACAGCATGCTAACACTGGTACGGTACGTGCATGCTCTCTCTCTCATACACACACACATACACACAAACACACGCACAGTAGACAAGAACACATATGCACACACACTCCATGTTCACACAGCTGTCAGAAGTGTTGAGAACAGCAAAACGTCTGGCAGAGAAACTTACAGTAATCACGAGCAGCTGTATCATATACACATGGGCACACACACACACACAGACACACACACACACACTGATGCACACAGCCATAACAAAGAAAGTTACTCATAGTGTCCTACTCAGTGACTTTCAGCAGCCTTGCCTAAAATGTGTGTGTTACAGGCAAGGGGTGATACTGAGTCACAACTATGAAAGACTCAATGGGGATTCCCTGCTGTGTTTACACTGGGTTTCCATGGCAACAGGCACACAGTTGGACAGTACAGTGTGTGAGTGTGTCTGTGTGTCAAAAATAGAATGTGCATGTCAGAAGGAAATGTACAGCATTCATGAACAGTGTGAGAAACATGGAAAAAATAGAGGAGAGAGAGAGGGAGAGAAATGTAACAGCAGACAAACAACCTCATTGTTCTTATCCTTTCAGTTGTCAGCAAGAAATGCTACCTACCTTTCGACCCTCTATACCAGATAAACCAACAGGACCGAGAATCCCAGGATCTCCCTACAAACAAACACACAAGCAACATCAATCAAAATCAATCAATAATCAAAGCTGGGAAATCCAGCAATATTGTTTGAATTGTGTTCAGTGATGCCACTTTTTCTCTTCAATTTAAAACTGACTGAGCCTCTACCACAAAGCTAAAGCACTGAGTCACTGCAGTCGTTATCACAAAGCTAAAACACTGAGTCACTGCAGTCGTTATCACAAAGCTGAAGCACTGGGTCAATAGCATTTTTACCACAAAGCTACAGGGCTTGATCACTACACTGACTTTCAAAAAAACAGCTCTAGCACAAAGCTACTGCACTACACTGACTATTGCAAAGCTGAAGGGCTGGGTTACTAGCATCACTGTCACAAAACTAAAGCTCTGGATCACTCAAGTCTTGACCGAGTCACTAGCTTCACTTCCACAAAGTTCAAGTGCTAGACCACTAGAGTCTCTACACAAATCTATAGCAGTGGATCACTAGTTACTAAACACAAACTTAAGCAGCCTGAGGCATAGGCCATTTTTCATTAACATCAATGTGATTGTAGCTACAATAACAGAATGAGGAGGCCTATAATACAGGGTGATTTAAGAAGATTAATCCGATTTCAAAGCGCCATATTCTTACGACCGTGAGGCGCCTAGTAACCAATCACATAGCAACTGAAAGATGGGGTCATAGAGTTTCTGACTGTCACTGGAAGATGGCTCCCTTCAGTCTGCGAGGAGATGAGACCCCTGAGCAGAAAGAGTTCTGCGTTCTCCACTTCAATAAGAGTGAATCCGTCATAACTGTGCAGCGTGATTTTCGTGGGCAGTGAACCTCCAACAGCTCAGAGCGTTCATCGTTGGTTCCACAACACTGGATGATCTCCGAAATCACACTGAAAGAGCTGTGAGTGCAGCGACACCCGACATGCTCAATCCAGTATGGGATGAATTTGACTATGGCGTTGATGTTGTCCGTACAGCTGGAGGAGGTTCATATTCAGCACTTATAAAATTACATAATAAACTTTGATTCACCCTGTATAATAATAATCTAACTAGAACAGACTAAATACTAAGACTGTATATGACAGCGTATATCACCAGCCACAGAACTAAATACTAAAACACCAAGAGTAACTAAAGAGGCTTTTGCACATATAGAAATCCACCTAAACACACCGAGACACACATAGTCACACACACAGAGTAACACTGTTCATTACATCAGTCCATATATGAACTACAATCTTCCATCTACAGATGGTGTTGATATGAGCTGGTTTTTGAGGGAACATGTAGTTCAATAAACAATTAAAATTCACGCTGGTGAACTAGTTTGTTTTTTGCAACTGTCAGTAACAAGTGACATTGTGTTGATGAGGAATATTTTTCAGAAAAAAGATAAAACAGTCCACCCTCTTGCTCTCTACTTGCTCAGCCTTCAAATTTGCATGGTTAAAGTTGAAAGAGATTAACTTGGCACAAATCGAAATTTAATGCTACCGGAAGTAAATCGACCTCTCACGTTCTCGTGTCCTTTCTCATTCAAGTGAACAGGCTTTTTAGAAAAGCCAATTTAAGGTTTAAGGTTTTTGGTAAAATGCTTGTTTGATTTCAGTTAGGACAAAAAGGCACCAGAAACTTCAGCATTATAGTATCTCTGAAATTATATGACTCAAGATGAAAACAAGCACTATTAAGAGCCTGGACACTCACTTTCTCTCCTATAGGAGCTTTTCCAGGAGAGAGTCCAGGGTCACCCTTTTTCCCCTGAAAAAAGATGGTAAGAGACAGATTGTAAACTGTTCTAAATTTGTTACCTGAGCTTTGACAATACAACAGTGTAATTAGATGTCAATAAAACAGCCTGAATTAACTTGGAAAAAATGAGAGAGAGATGAAAAGTGTCTGTAATGTACAGTAACTGGCTGACACCTTAATTTGCTATTCAGAAGTCCACATTATTTCACTTGTAATATACCCCTATATATTAGAAAAAGAGAGAGAGGGAGAGAGTGAGGTGCATACCTTAAACCCTGGGGGACCTGGTCGTCCTGGGTTACCGTGTGGTCCGGGTGGTCCCTGTAACAACACACATACACACACACATACACACAAAATACACACAAAATAAATGAACAAAACAGACACATTCTGTTATTATGTAGTTCATGCTCAGATCAGAAAAGAGTTAAAAAACATAAGATGAAATATTTTTTTCATAATAATTTAACTTATAAACATGAGAAATCCCCATCAAAGAGGACAACAGTCTCTGACCTGTTACACTCTGACATTTGAACTCCATTGAGCCCAACCTCTGTGTGCATAGTACCTAGTGCCACATTTCCTGCCTTGAGTCAAGGGTCACACCAGAGGTCAAGGTCTCTTCAGTGGCAGCAGCTAAGCTAATCAGTCAGAATGTTTTTGAAGCCTCCACAACCTGGCCAAGTGCCGGGAAAGCTTCAAATCGAGTCAATCGAAGGGCTCATTTCAAGGGGGAATGAAAATGTGTACCCACTTCGAGAGATGAATTTGACTTGGTGAACTACGACCAAGAACAAGGGATATTTTGTGTTATCTGCTACATGCACCCAAATCTGACTGAGAAGTAGCTAGGTTAGCTGCAGAAGTATGCATCAAACCATGTGCGAACGCTATATAAGTGTGCTTTTTGATAACATTAATTTTATATAGATATATATCTCAGTGTGAAATGCGACTCTTTATTGAGCTGCTGGCAAGCAATAAGGGGTAAAATAGGTGGGCTGAGAAGCCCTTGCTGTGAAAACAATTCACAGCCACAGCTCTCTACAAGGACGGTCATAAAGAGATAAAACAGGCAGCACAGCTGCAGCTTTCTTGATTTCAAAAAGTCATGTATCACTGCCATAATCAAAAATAGAATTTAAATACACTGAAAAAACACATTTACAAATGTTGACTTGCTTGCTCACCTACACAGATGAAAATCCAGGTTCCTTTTAGATTTTGTAAATCATACATACTTCCATCACAATATATTCCATCAACATTATTGAAGAAAACAAAAAAGTGTGTGTGTGTTTGCCTAGTCCGCAAAGGCCAGAGCACATAGACCCAACAAGTACAAACACTAACGTTCTAACGCCAGCAGTTGTTTTAGAAAGTTTTTAATACAGAACTAATAAACCAAACAAACTAGAAAAGTATGAATGAGAGAGAACACATTCTAGAACAGAGTGAAAAGAGAAGAATATTCCAGAACAGTGTGAATGGGGACAGTATTCTACAACAGTGTGAATGGAGAAGAACATTCTAGAACAGAGTGAAAAGAAGAGAATCTTCCAAAACAGTGTGAATGGGGAGAACATTCTAGAACAGAGTGAAAAGAAGAGAATCTTCCAAAACAGTGTGAATGGGGAGAACATTCTGGAAAAGTATGAATTTCATTGCAACCAAGCAGGAGCACATCCAATATAACTAATCAGTTGTTTGAAGACTAAGACCAACTGATTAAACAAGTAGAATCAGATGTACTTCTGCTTGTTTGGATTAAAAACCTGTGCCGGTCCTTTGTGGATAAGATTGGTGACCCCTGGCCAAGACTAATGCTTTTTCTTATTGACAACTTGTCATTTGTCGCATTGGTTCCAGTTTTTTTAAATCTAAACATGAATGGTTGATTCCACTGTTCTTTCTTAATTATGCTGGAGGTTAATCTGATAGTTTGGCCTTCAGTTCAGCTCCTGAAGTCCTAATGAATGGGAGAACTCGCTTGGTTGTAGCTATACACATAACACAGGAAACCAAATCCTGATTAGACAACTTTTGCTCAGCAGGGCTGTTCAAGAATTTAACTGTTTGGTTTGCAACAAAAACAATAATGAAAAAGGAGTATTACTACAATACATGCATGCTCTGAAGACCTAGAAGGCCCTGAGGGTTCCTCAGTGATAAAAATATGTTTGTTCTCTCATTGGGTGAGATGGTGGGATTGTCCTCACGGGCTAACTGCGGGCCCCACTTTCAGGCAGCCCCATTCCAGTTGCAGTCTTCGAGTCTCTCGGCAGTCACATACAGGTGGCACACCAACCAAACGTTTGGTTTTGTTGGTGTCTGCAAGGTCAGTGTGCTCTGGACGCAAAGGTGAATGGGAAGTATGTGTGGATGTGTGTGAATGGCTGTGTGTCTGTGGCTCTGGTGGTGAATGAGCAAGTGTCTGCTTGAGTGGATGTGTGTGCTTGCATAATGTGTGGAGGTGGAGAGCAGAGTGTGTGTATGTTTGTGCATGGTTCATAGGTTGAGTGGTTTTAGAGTATAAATAATGAATTGGTGCTTTTACTTAAACAAATGCTCTCTTTAACCAAGAAAAACACTCATGCAGAATCACACAGAAAAAACACATTCAGAACTAGCCCCCCCCGCCAGCCCCCCGCCCCCACCAACACACATGCAGATTGACACACAAAAATAGAGATACATGCTGAGACACAAACGGACACACACAGCCCAACTTGCCCCCTGGGCTCAACACTCTGGCAGACCCGTAGTGCGTGTTGACAGTAGTTGCTAAGGCAACACCTCACACCCTTGTGTGTCCCTGCCAAAGGTCAAGGGTGAGACACTGAGCATGTGTGTGTTATACGGGTGTGAGGTGCGGACGTGTGTACGTGGGTGTGTGTGTGTGCAGCCAAGGTGACCATCATACACTGAAGTGGGTGTCCTCAGATGCTCTCTCTCTCTATAGCTCTGTCTTTATCTTCATCTCTCTTCTTTTTCTTTTTCTATCTACTTCTTTCTTTCTGTCTTTTTTCTTTCTCTCCCTCTCTCTGTATTATTTGTTTTCTCTCTATCTCTTTATTACATTACTTATATATACAGTCCTATGCAAAATTTTAAATACCCCAAATTACACGTTCTGTTGGTTTTCTCAGTGAAAGTAAGTCAACACATCCTCTACACGGAACAACTTTATATGACATATTCCTGCTTATTTTAGTGCACCATTTCTATTTCTATTCTATGTATTAAAGTAAAACATAAAATATAAAATGTGTCAAAACTTTGGCACAGACTACATTAAAATGTACAGAACTGTGTTCTCTGTAGATGATGTTTTATTATGCTCAACAAAACAAGTAATTCAACCAGGGTTGCCAAACTTTTGCATATGACTGCAGTACAATGTATAGGGAAACAAGGAAAAGAAACTCCTTCGAGGTAAGACACTTTACTCAATCACCTGTCTAAAGGATGGGGCCAAATCTAATCTCACCACATTTACCGAATGGCTATGCTATAACTAATTCTGCAATTAAAGTAGTCGATATCGTATGAGCTAGTTCCCATGAGGTAGAAAACCCCAGGTTTGGTTACAGTTTTTTTCTCGATGCCTCCAGCCATCGCATAAATTTGTTTAAATGCATGACCAGCACACCTATTTAACTTAATGAAGTACTGATTAGTACTGAACCACATATTTGATGATAAATACTGGTTAATCAAACACACTCACACACACAAAATCACCACTTTTGTGTCAATGTTTTTTGTATTCATTCTAATATTATCTAATATTAGCACAATTATCTAATACTGGCACAATATCAGCATGTGGTGCAGGGCGCAGTAAGCAGTGCTGTCGCCTTACAGCAGGAAGGGCCTGGTTCCAGCAAGAAGGGCCTGGGTTTGATCCCAGAACCAGCGGCCATATTACAGAAACGTCTTAAGTCTGAAATCTTATCTTATCTGTTTAGTCACCATGACAACTTTAGTTAGGACTGAATTTAGGACAGAAGCTATTACAGAACAACAGTTCTTAAGTTCATAATCTTATCCTAAGTCCAGATAAGAAAACGGTAAATCTCCTAAATTCTGTCCAAACTTTAAGACAAACCCAGAGGTGTCTTAACTTCTGTTTTAACCTGCTGTTTCTATTGTTTTGTGCTGTTAGGCAGCACAAAGTAAGTTAAGAGTAAGTTAAGATCTCTTGACCTGAGATCAAATGCCGAAAATAAGATTCCTAAATTAAGATGAGATTTGCTTCTGTATTACGAATTTGTGAAAAATCTTATCTTGACCTGTCAGATCTTAAGTTAAGACAAAAAGATAGGAAGTTTCTGTAATACGGCCCCTGGGTCCTATCTGTGTGGAGTTTGCATGTTCTTCCCACGTCTGCATGGGTTTTCTCCAGGTGCTCCGGTTTCCTCCCACAGTCCAAAGACACACACTTGGAGACACTAAATTGCTCCTAGGTGTGAGAGTGTGTGTGTGATTGTATATGTCTGTGTGTCTGCCCTGTGATAGACTGGTGATCTGTCCAGGTTGTTTCCGGCCTTCTACCCAAAGAACGCTGGGACAGGCACCCTCTGTGACCCAGGAGGATAAGCAGCTTAGAAGATGAATGTGTGTTTTAGGGCCCACTGCAAAATTAACGAAAAATGACGCCAGCCCCAAAATCTTGGTTTAACAACTGTTTACTGGCACAGGCCTAGTTTCTCAGTTTCGTAAATGCGAAATGATCTATAGATAAATCTGAAAACTTTAATCGCAGAGAAGAAAGTTTACTGAACAGAGAGAGAGACAGAGTGGTCCTGGTTTGGGTTTCATCCTTTGGTCAGTCTGATAAAACAACATACAGTCCACACACTCACACACACACACACACACATAAACATACACATACACACACACACACACAGTAAAACTCCAAAGACAGAGTTTCGTGTGTGTGTGCATTAGTAAAACATTTTACAGGCTGCTGCATTTAAACTCTCAAAGGTGTTTTTATACACACTTCTTCCTGTTTATACCTGTTTATACCCCCTACCACACACATACACACACACCACACACTTACCCGTGGTCCTCTCTTCCCTGGCAGTCCTGGCTTTCCTGGAGGTCCCTGAATTCCCTAAAAAAGACAAGAGCACAAAGTTACACACACACACACACACACACACACACACACACACACACACACTGCAACACTGTGAAAAATGGGCTCTAGTTTCAGCAGAGTAAAATATAATCATGCTCTGTCCATGACTGTCTCTCTGTCTGTGTGTGTGTGTGTGTGTGTGTGTGTCAGATGAGCTACAGCTCAATGTTTAGAAACTAAACAAAACAGAGAGGAAACAGGAAGTCATTAGAATGAATTTCCTTTTCCTGATAAAGGAGTAAAGGAGCTCGCTCTCAATCATGTGTGTGGCCCACTTTTATATCCCTTTCATGCATGGTGTCCACACACGTGGACAGTTCCTTTTATAATATAGGTGATGCAGTGTTCAGAAAAAAAGTCTTTCAAAATGTCGATGTTTTTAAGAAAAATTAACAATTAATTATGACAATACACTTCTACACATAAATAATTTAATTACAAAACACTGTAAATCCAGCCACAACAATAAGAGCCTTTAAAAGAGCAACAGCTGATATGTAACACAAAAAGACCCACATTTTTACAAATGTGCCAATACGGAAATAGATGCCGAGACAGATGCCGATGTCTAATATTTTACGTGTACATATTTGCCCCAAAAAAATGACAGTTATATGTAGAGGGTTACAAATGCAGTAAAATGAACAAAATGCAGATATTTTCCCGCATCAAGCTAGCATTCCCGAAAAGCTCTGTTCTTCTTTTTGAGTAATTATCTGCTAATACTGATATGATTTCCATATCACATTGCATTTATAACATTCATCGTCTGCATTTCATGTAGAATGTCAATCAGACCAAGTGTTTCTGTACAGTGTGAGCACAAAAATGTAGGCTTTGTTTGTACACGATAGTCTATTCAAACATAGTTACAGCGTGAGTCACCAAAGAACAAGATTTCTAAAATTGCACAGTGTATGTCTGGCTTTAGACGACATTCAACTACAGCTCAACCAGCCAATCAGAAGACTCTAACAACACATAAAACTCGAAACGTGAGGTCCTCAGATTAGCCTCGGATGTGATTCCTGTTGTGAGACTGCTGTTGAAAAAGATAGATAAGGATCAAAACTATGAAACGTACTTCACTTACGGTTTCTGACATGGAAAAAAACATACTTTTCTCCACTGCAACGCTACTCCATCTAGGTAGCTAATGTCACATAGCTAGCTAATGCACGCTGTTTAAAATCAGGTAGATTTCACTTCATTCTAAGCAGGTTACTCATTAATGGTAACAGTATCAACAAGTACCAAAAAACATGTTATGCACTTATGCATCCCTTCTTGAAATGAAATCCTTCATATCTTCTTCCGTCATACATGCTTCACTAAACATCACACGCAAGTTCATGCCAACAAAACAGTTCAGCCAACAACAAGTAATAGACAGCAAGAAAGATTTCGCAGTCATCTAAACTGAACGACTTCAGGACTGAATCCAAACCAGCACTCCGGGATCTGATATAATTAAAAAAATAGTGACTGAAGCAATATGAACTAAGTATTTTCTTTTAATAAAGACACAAACATGTGAAAGTATGAAATATGCAGTTATTAGAAAAAAAAGAGTGTAAATGTCAATGTATGGGAAATCTACAATATGGGAAAAACAAACAAGCGGGAAAAAAATGTAAAAAAGTTCTCTCTTTTTCTCTGCCCCCCCCCACCCCCAAATGCCACGTGGCATGGGATGAAAGGGCTCCATTGAGGAAAGCTCTCAAAGGGGGAGGTGTGTGTGTGTATTTATGCAAAGAATCTCTAAGGGTTACAGCTATGCCTCTACAGATAGAGTGCGAGACAGTGGCTTTTTCAACCAAGGGTCTCCCTCTGTCATGAACTCACATATACACACAGTGTCCACTGCTGTGCAAATACATATACTTCTCAAAGTGCTGAATCTGCACTGATGCTCGTGGCTCCTCTGATGTCACTGTGTGAGTGTGTGTGTGTGTGTGTGTGTGTGTGTTTAGGGTGGGGCTAGCGTTATTATAGTAGAACAGGGTTAATGAGAGGGTCTCCCACTCATTAAGTGTGTGCCAAATGTGCGTGTGCTTCTGCCTGGGTGTGTAAGTTATTTTAAGACGGTAAGCAGGTGCACACTTCGTGTGTGTGTGTGTGTGTGTGAATGAGAGGGTGTCTTCTTCATTAAATGCATCTGGGGTGTGTCAGCATGGTAAGTTAGCATTAGAGTGTGTGTGTTTACGGTGTGTGATGGTGTGCTTCAGCTAATAAACCTTGAGTAATAACAGAGAACTCACAGCTCTCTCACGTACATGCACACACACACATGCCCCTGGCAATGTCAGCTCTGCAGTTTACCCCTCTAATTGTAGTGATACACACACACACGTCTAGTCCATCATTTCTGAAAAGCTGTCTAGCTCTAGGTGTGTCACCACAGCCCCTTCTTATCCACTGAATCCTGTAATCCTCTACTTGTATTTTTTTCCTCTCAGATCTCCACTCACTGCTCATATTCTGCAAAGAGATTACTAGGGATGGCCATTTCAGTCAAATTTGGTATTCGAATACACCAATCAGCCACAATTAAAACCATCTCCTTGTATTACTGTTGTACTCATTGTCCATTTTATCAGTTCCACTTTACCATATTAGAGCACTCTGTGTTTCTACAGTTACAGCCTGTAGTCCATCTGTTTCTCTGCATACTTTGTTAGCCTCCTTTCAGCCTGTTCTTCAGTGGTCAGGACCCCCACTGGACCACCATAGTGCAGGTATTATTTGGGTGGTGGGTCATTCTCAGCACCGCAGAGACACTGACGTGATGATGGTGTGTCAGTGTGTGTTGTGCTGGTACGAGTGGATCTGACACAGCAGTGCTGCTGGAGTTTTTAAACACTGTGTCCACTCACTGTCCACTCCTACCGTGTTGGTCCACCTTGTAGATGTAAAGTCAGGGACGACATTTCATCTGCTGCTGCAGTTTGTGTTGGTCATACTCTAGTCCTTCATCAGTGGTCACAGGACGCTGCCCACTGGACGCTGTCGGCTGGATGATTTTGGTTCTCAGACCAGCAGCGACACTGGTGTGTTTAAAAACTCCAGCAGCACTGCTGTGTCTGATCCACTCACACCAGCGCAACACACACGGACACACCACCACCACGTCAGTGTTACTGCAGTGCTGAGAATAATCCACCACCCAAATAGTACCTGCTCTGTGAGGGTCCATGGGGGTCCTGGCGACTGAAGAACAGGGTAAAAGGGGGCTAACAAAGTATGCAGAGAAACAGATGGACTACAGTCTGTAACTGTAGAACTACAAAGTTCATTTATATGGTAAATGGAGCTGATAAAAAGGACAATGAATGTAGAAACAAGGACATGGTTTCAATATAATGGCTCATCGGTATATGTTAAAGGCTGCTGCACACTAGACGTCACCAGAGACAGTGACACCACCCAACATCTTACTATTATAGGATAATATCACAGTATTACAGTAATCGTACTGTTACTGTACTACAAACCCAGACAACAAATCCATAGTAATTGACATGTGGCTTGAAATTTACAGACAAAGGTGTCAACCTGAAGTCTTTAAGATAAATAGACAAATGTTAATTGTCTGTTTTCACTTCAGGTAATGTTACTAGCCTAGACGCACTGTACTTCACCTTATACTTTTTTCAGCTGGAAAACAGCCTGTGAAGAGTCAGTTAGGTGATAATAAATCTAAAAAAGTCATTAAATTATACAGAGGGTTTTATTCCACTGCATCTATATGAGCAGAGCTTATAGTAAAACCTCTCATCAGTAGTGTTTAGACGGCTGCAGTAGTCTTTTTTGGGCTAAACAGACTACAACATCAGATGCAGGTTCTACAACCCTCTGTTGAAGCATAAAAAGGATCAATTGATACAAAGCCATGTGACGTTAGAAAGAAGCTAACGTGCACATAAAAAATCCAAATTTACTATTTGAGTTTTTAAACTTTCACGACTATTCGAATATTCAGTTCAGGTAAATGCTCCTAACAGGTAATGTAAGTTTACTGCCAACTAATCAGCACTGTGTGAACTGTAGGCCTAAATCATCTGTTTTTTGTCCAGTGTTAGGGTTAGCCAGTGTGTAATACAATGTCAGGAACCACATAAACAAGTCTATTTGAGATTATTTAACAACTTCATACAGTCTGAAGCAAGTGTGTGATAATTTAGTATTACAGTTTGAGTGATGCAAACAGCTGGGTATAAACTGACATTACTTGTTAGCTACATGTTAACTGCTTCTTAGACCTAGCAAAACTGAAGAAGCAAACTGCAGACACTAAACATCTTTTGACCTACTACATCTGGTGAGAGTTGTATGAATTAGATTACTTTCTAAACTATTTCTTTGAAGCTTGAAAGGGCTGTGCTCGAACTAATATAACCAGGACACAAGACTATCGCGTTATTGAGTGTGTTTACATTCACTTAATAATGTAATCATAATCAGATTTCTGTAGTTATCTGATTATTTAAATGGTCAAGTAAAAAACATACTCCAATTTCTTAGAACGGAGTAAGGTTGAGAAATCTGTTTTTTGCTCAGTAATCAGACTTCTCAGCGCGTGTAAACTCCTACTTTGGTTTCTTTCAGATTTCTCAGTCTGCGCATGTGAGAAAACAGACCACAGTAACGGAAATAAGTAAGCAGCATTTAACGCAGCACCCACGAGACGGCAACAAAACACTTTTGGAGCATCCCTGAAACCATTTACATGCTTGCTAAAATGAAGAATTTAAATATCCTCCATCTTCTAGATGATGTATGTTCATATTTTCAGGTTAAGCGGATCTTTAAAAAAGCTTCAACATGAAGGTAGAATTTTTTATGTACGTTTACCTTATGTAGACCCACAGTTTTCCCATGACCTGATTACCCAAGTGTATATAAACGCATTGACTGGATTACTGACAAAATCTGATTTTCAGTTTCAGTTATGGAATTATTTAGTGCATGTAAACTCATTCACTGTTACAGGATGTAATTTTCCACTTCGTCCCAAATTTCAGCCTTGTTTCCATGCAAATACAAGGATGAGGATTCCTGTGTGTGTTCAGTAACCACGTCACATGAAATGTTAACTGTTTACTGTTGAACCTGACCTTTGACCTTGCTTTGAAAGCAAGACGTTTGACCCTCTCGCAAATAAAGAGGGTGATGGAGAAATGGGTGGCAGGGGTGTCAAACGCGTCAAACACACAAATGTGTGAATGCACAGAGGCTCAGACAACACACACACACACACACACCAACACACAGCACCACCATACACATATCTCCCTAGACCTCTGCCATTTGCTTAGATTGTAGTACTTTCTGTGGTCAGACCAGACACCGCAACATAAAATAGCAACACATTACGCTAAACACCAAATTCATCTACTGCTGCAAGGCTGACAAGCTTTACAGAATACTGGTACAATTCCAATTCAACGTAAGAAGAAACTGTAGCTGTGTAACTGTACCTGTTTTTGACAGAATACCTAAATTCAAAGTGTTATTAAGACTATGAAAGGTCACCCTGAGAGGATAGATCAGGTATAGTGTTTCTGACATGTAGGCAAAATGTTAAAGCATAAACATCCAATTGACGGGCTAAGAAGAATGTTCCGCAAATTCAGCTGTTGTAGAATTGCTAGCTGTGCCTGTCAATTGATTGGGGGAGCAATTATAATCTAATAATCTATTCAATGTGTTCCACACAGTGAAAGGCTACAGAACAACACTTATCTACAACAAAACATTTATCTACATTGATGCAGATACAGGGGATAGAGAAATAGACACTTTTTGTGTCAGCCTTTACTGTTTAACAGTTTATACTTCTGTAAATAAAATTGCAGTAAAATTCCAGGAAAAGCAATAAGATATGGCAGCTAATCTGCAAGCAGAAAAGAAAAAAACAATACACTTCTGTAAATTCAATTACAGTAAAAATGATTTAATTTGGATTTTTACCCAATTTTTATGGACAATTTCCACCTATGAGCTAGGTCTCCCAGTATATTATAAGAAGCCACCTAGCCAGGAGGGTGAGGGCTAGCATGGGTTTCCTCCAAACTCCTTAACTCCATAACAGGCAAACATCACAACATATTGCACAGAAGAGATTTATGAATACAGCTAGTAGCTGTAGTAGTAATTCACTGACAACAGTGCTGCCATGTGATTAACCAAAGAAAGGTGCAAGAACATCTGAACAAGCACCCTGCAAAGTGTGTAGCAGCAATATTACTGTGGTAGCACAGGTTATCCAAAACTTTCAATGGATTAAAATTAAGCAAATTAAAATATTTGTGGACCCATCATAATTAGAAAATATCCCACATGAAATGTAGGAAGGAAAAAAGGCTTGAAAAAAATCCAAATTATCTTATGTTTTAGATTCTTCAATATAGCTATTCTTCGCTCACAAATGGTACAGGCAGTGCCTCAGACATCAGTTTGATAACACACACACACCCAAACACGCACAAACACTGTATAAGACCAACTGGCCACTTACCGAAGGTCCGGAATCTCCCTTTTCGCCTGGTGGTCCCCTTAGAGAAGCAAACAGTGTTGGATCCAGATCCCAATTTTGAAATCCATCTGCGGCTAGAACTGTATGTGTCTCTAAGGTTAGCATGGCTGTCGGTAGGGTAGCAGGAGGTTTCGGGGTCTTTGTGGGGATTTTCGGGGTTGGCAGGGTGCTCTGGGGCATCTTTAAAACAAGAGGGGTGAATGGTGTGGACCTGGGCGTAGGTAGGGTGTGTCTGGGTGTGCGTTGGGTGCTGGTTTTGGGCTGTGGTGTTTTTTTACCTGGGCTAGAGGTTGTTTTTTTGGGGATAATCGGACCCTGGTCAGATAAAGACATTAACATGTCTGTTTGTCTCTTAGTGGAGCTGGCTGCAGTGGGTGCAGTAATGTGTGGGGGTTTCACTGATGTTTTCTTGCTATCTGGAGTGGGTTTTGCAGGAGAGGGCTTGAGATGAAGGGCTTTCTGAGATGTGGGTTTGACTGCTGTAGATTTTGTGGGTGTGGGTTTAGAGGGCTTCAATAGTGCTGGCTTGGACCCAGAAGGTTTTGAGTTTGTGGGTTTTGACGCAGCAGTGGATTTGGTGCTGTTGGATTTTGAAACAGTGGGTTTGGTGCTGTTGGGCTTTGAGATGGTGGGTTTGGTGCTGTTGGGCTTTGAGATGGTGGGTTTGGTGCTGTTGGATTTTGAGACAGTAGGTTTGGTGCTGTTGGGTTTTAGGACGGTGGGTTTTGTGCTAATGGGTTTTGAGACAGATGGTTTAGTACTGGTGGGTTTTGTAGTTGCAGGCTTTGACCAAGAAGGTTTAGCTGTAACAGATTTAGACTGAGTTCTTGCTGTGGTGGATTTGAACCCTGCTGGTTTGGTCATGGCCGTTGGTCTGGAGGCAGTGGATTTGGGGCTAATTTTGGGCAAGGTTTTGGGTGCCCTGAGAGTGGGCATGGGAGTTGCAGTGCTTAAGCGTTCTCGTGGTGGTGGTTCGAGTCGTGTCCCAGTTGGGGGTAGAGGAGTGGACGTGGGAGAAAAGGTTTTGGGTCGGGACCCCATGACCGCATTATTCTCTTCTAAAACAGGCCCGGCAGTTCCACTCAGGGGTATCCATGGGATGCCAGTTGCGGGGGTATGATTAGAAGACAAATTTTGGGCCGAGGTGGGTGAGGCATGGCGATGAGGAAGGGGCAGTAGGATAGGGGGCGGGGCTGGCCTGTAGGTGTCATTTTCTCTGCACTGCCTGCGGATGGCACTGCAGTAGTTTGTTTGTGCCCGTGCAGTGGGCACGATGTCGAATTGGCATACGGCGCCCTCAAATGGGGCGACACCCGGCAACAGGGCACTGCTACCACCCAGCCGGAATGTCCCGCGAGGGTCCAAACGGGCTAGAGGGGGCAAGGGTAGCTTCTGGGACACACCCCCATTGTCACTGTGGTTACAGGCAGGCAGCAAGGTGACTGTCTGGCCGGCCAGGATGATGGCCAGGTTGTGCCAACGGCCGTCATGGAGGTTATAGGGGAAGCTGATGGAGTTCTGGGGTCCAGAGTGGAGTGTTAATGTCCCAGGGGAAATCTCCAGGCCCAGCTGGATTCGAGAGCCGGAAAAGACGGAGAAGAGGAAGGCGGAGTTGACACGGTGCGAGCGAACACTCAGCAGAAGTGTGGAGTTCCAGAAAAGGTCAGGTGGGAGCAAGGTGCGCGTTGCTGTGGTAACCCGCGCTCGGGGAGTGAGGATGACTCCGGAGCGAAGAGAGATGACCCCAACAGGGACGGAGCGGGACCCCTGCTCGGCGCGCAGAGACAGACGCTGCAGCACGTCCACATCTACAACACACACAGATTTACACACACAGATTTAATCCCTCAAAACTCCATGGTTATTATTTAGATATTACACCTGAGGATTATTGTCTAATAACTACTATAAATTATTCTTCAGCTGTTAAGAAACTAATATGTAAGGTGTGTATTTGAGAGCAAAGATCCATATACCATGATCAAGGAATTAATACATGCATACACATACAGATTTTTTCACACATGTATTCCAATTTACACACACATACATTGATACATGCTTACATATGCAGAATTACAAATATTCATGAACACATAAATGCACTCCTGCCAAACTGTTCATATATTGGACACACACACATGAACCCATGCATGCCCACACTCACTGAAATACACTCCCCGTCCACTTTGTAGCTCCATCTTGCTACAAAGACTGGAGCCCATCTGTTGATTCACAATTTGTGTCTGCCCTCTTAGCCCTTCATTAATTAGTTCAGTTGGATGTTGGATGGTAGACCACTCTCAACCTAGCAGTCACACTGATGTGTGTAAAAACACATGGGGGGTGAGTACGCTGCGGGTTGGACTGGAGGAGTGGGGAGAGTTCTTGTTGTTTAACAAAAATAAAATAAAAACTTCAGCAACATCACTGTGCTTGAAACCTAGAACCAGCACCACACACATTACATGCCACTTCCATGTCAGGGTCACTGCTGCGCTGAGAATGGACCACCATCCAAATAATATCTGGACAACAGCGGGACTGTGGTAAAAAAAAAAAAATTCCACTGGCACAGCAGACTCCCTTGTGGTCCTTGAGCATAAAAAGAAGACCCAACTCTTTGTGAAGCAGGTAAGCAGGCATTAATCTAAGTACTTAGCGAAATGCACTGTATTGCACTAATGCAATGTCTTAGTTCTGTATCTTTCTTTCTAGGTATTAGCACTGGTTTTTATTTCTGGCAGTGTCTTAGCTCAAGGGTAGTTTGGATTCTCATCTATTTATACTAGCTAGGATACTTTCTCTTAGTCTCTTAGACAACAAAGTCACTCTGAATAAGAGCATCTGCTAAATTCCATAAATGTGAATGTAAAATGATGAACAGAGAAGAGGGTGGCTGATTAATTGGCAGCGACAGATGAGCAATAGTAAGTAGAACCTCCACTCCAGTGGACAGTGAGTGAAATTACAAAGTAGGAGTTTCTAATAAAGTAGTGGAGGGTGGGCATAAAAATGTATACTGATGTATAATAGTGATGTATATGATATCTGCAAATCTTAACTACGTCTTCACTCAAACAGATAAAATCCTCCATTCTTTTCGGCTGCCTTCACTTGCAAAATACTACAACTGGCACCCTCCGTTTCTCGGCTGTTATCGTATTGCTGCTGTTGCAGCTCCTGATATTTACATACAGAGCTGTGTATTACATCATAATCACATAAATGTGTGAACACTTTGTAACACCAGGGGTGTGTGTGTGTGCAGGTTCCTCTGGGAAAACATGATTTAAGACAGAGAGCGAAGTGAGTCAATATCAGTAGTAAGCACTTCTCAATGTCTCTGTGTGTGTGAGATCACTTTGTTCCTTAACGCCCCTAAGGAGGGAGCGTTAAAAGGCCACAGTCAGCTTGAGTGTACGCATGTGTGTGTATGAGTGAGTGTGTATATATGTGCGTTAATAGGTGTCCGCACAAGCGCATGTATTGGTGTGTCCGAGATTGTGTGCGCATATATTAAAATGCCTCCCAAAATTAGTAGTAAGGCACCCTGTCAAGTCCGAAATACATGTCTGAATATAATCCTGCTTGCAGAGGTTCCTCCATTTGGCCATGTTTTAGCCATGGTTTGATGTATCCTTTGATGAAAATTAACTTTTATCAGCATTTTTAACATAATCATATCATAATCATTTTACTTTTTTATTTCTAAATCACAGCTATTTTCATTTTCTCAGAACTATTACAGATAAAACAGCTTGTTTTCAGCTTTGTTGTTTCAAGCTATTTTAGCTTGTGAAAGAAACATTAGCTGGTTGGCTAAACTAATCTAACTGGTCTTTTATTATGTTTTGCTGCAAGTGTCTGTTTGCTAATTTAGCTAATGTAAGCTAACATTCATGGTAAGCTAATGCTTAGGTAAGTTTTGAGCATTCAAGCTTCTTTCCGTAAGGTGAATGTTGAACCTAGGTGAAACACCACATTCTGGTTCCTAAAAGTGCAGTGTCCCAGCCTTTTTAAAACCCTAAACTGTTTTTCTTAATTTTTTTCTGGGTAAAAAAACACTAACAGCTAAAGGTCCACTGCTAGCGGTGAGCTATGGGTATCCTAGCAACAATGTGACATATTTCTGCCTTAAATGCGCATCTAAAATGTGATTCGGTTACAGGTAACTTCATCACAACACTGCCGTGTAAGCCACAGTCTGAACGCTGGCCTTACCGGCTATGCACACATACACACACAAACGCACACACATACATAAAGTGTCTAACCAGCTCTGAGGCACACACAACAGACAAAACAGCTGAGCCTGTAAGAAACCTAATTCATGCATACACACACACACCTTTTCTTTAACGCATTAGATTTGGGTTTCTGCCTGTAACTTAACCGTGTATCACACTGCCAGGTTTAACATCACCACATAAGCGTGTGTGAGTAAGTGTGTGTTTCCAGCTTACATCAGCAGTCAAAGGGCAATAAACACATACACACGGGAAACTTACACTCTGCAGATCTATAAAGTTACAGAAAAGGATGGAAAAAGTGCAGTAAGTAGATTGCTGTGTGTGAGTTCATACTCTATGTGCATGTCCATCTGTGTGTGTGTGTATGTGTGTATGTGTGCAGCTAATGTAAGAATTCCCAAGCTGATCTTGTGCAGCAGAATTTTATTAAACTTTGTTAAACATCTATGAGCCAACAATTTTTAAAGACTTCAAGCCTGACCACTTACACTTATACTATTAAAATTGCAAAAACATGCTCCATAGATAAATATAAATACAAGAAAGGGTGGGCAATATGACAATATCTGTCACTATTTGGATATATTACATCACAATATGCTTTCCTGGGCATAGCGTGGACATCAACAGCACTTACAGAACATTGCCCAACTGCATGTTTTCTTAGAAAGTGTGCAAAATTGGTAGGTATGCACTGATGAGAATTCTAAGCTGATGCCGATACTCTATATTTTTCATTGGCATATTTGCCAAAGGAGATGTCAATTTAACAGTATTTTTGAAAGCAATGTAGCACTACTAGAGCTTTTTTGAACATTTCAAATAATCAAACAAAAAAAGTAAATGCAGTGATGTACATCGTATCAAGAAAAAGCCTTGTGATTTTATACTTTTGCCACATTGCTCCCTGCAATATATATATATTAAGGTCAAAATACACACACAGTTATACATATACACACAAACACACTTACAAACTACAATGCACTTACAAAATGTGCTCTGTGGATGAATACACATACATATGCATGTAACTCACCTTCAGACAGAACTTGTGTGAGTCCCAAATAAGTGGTACAGCACAGAAGAGTACACAGAAGTAGAGCTTTCCTACAAAGAGGGAGGGAGAGAGAGAGAGAGAGAGAGAGAGAAAGACAGAAAAAGAGAGAGACAGTTATTAATTCAAAGTAATTAAAGGTCTTTATCTCACACCAATTCTACATAACAAACAAAACTAGAAAACTGTTTTGAATAAAATGTAAGCATTGTAACTGATGAGCCAACTGATATCCAGATGAGCCAGAATAAGCCAAAGCACCCCTCACAGCATCAGCACCAGCTCACCAGTGTCTACACCAGGGCTGCCAAAGTGTGGCCTGTGTGCCACAAGTAGGCCCACGAGAACATTTAATTTGGTCTGACAGAAAGTTACTGGAGAAAAACATATTTGTATACTATATATAATTTGTTAAATTCTTAAAATTGTACTTTAATATGAGTAATAAGTAAGTATAAAGTATTATAGTCATAAAATATGGTGTAATGTTAGAAAATATGTTTAAAACTTTTTAAAACCTACATCTTTTCTTAAAAAATACTAAACATAGCACTTTGGTTGGGCCACAACCAGCACCACCACCCCACCCACCACCCCCCAAGACAAAAGGTTTGGGCACCCCGGACTACACATACATATAGATTTTCCTTATGGTGTCTCTCACTTGTCTGGTTACTGAAGGTAATATCAGACCAAGCACATCAAGGATTCACACTGGCTTGAGTTTTCTTTCCGCTCATTTAGAACAAGGGCAATGCTTCAGTAACAATCAGTATTTGGACTGATATCAGCAGAAAATGCTGGATCAGACATCGGAGGGGAAAAAAAATAACAAATTCAGTCCAACCCAGTAACAAATCTATTCTGAAATAGCACTCATTCCCACTGTGTGATATGTTGTTAGCTGTGTAGTTCTTCCTTGGGGTTCACAGAGTGATTAAGTAGTTTCAGCACCATAGCCAACCTATTGGCTATTACTCAAGGTTTCTATAATGCTATCAGAACAGAAAAAGTGGCACTGAGCTCAGCCCCCCTGTACACCATTCACCAATGGTCAGTTTCTGACCACAGGACCACTGTTGACCAGATATTATTTGGGTGGTGAACCATTCTCAGCACAGAAGTGACAACGACACGGCAGCTGGTACGAGCTGGTGTGTGGTGGTGGTACAAGAGACACGGGGGTGATTGACAGGTCAGCTATACATAGCCAGACCCCTAAGGTGTGAGTGTGTGTGTGTGTGTTTTTGGACAGCTGCTTTATCCATTATCCATTACCAGTAAAGGTACACACACAACCAGACTCCCTGAGGAGTGACATACCTGCAGCAGGAAGTAAGCCGTCTAACCACAGACCCCCTCCACCAACCAGAACCCAGCACTCTGACCTCACACTTAGTAAGCAACCACAAACAGATGAGTGAGACAGTTTGCGTGCGTGTGTGTGTGCATAGACACATTCATGAACTGGAATGATGTTTGAACCACACACATATTTAACATGTCTAGAGCCCAGCAAACAGAGTAAGATCACTGAGGGATGCACAAGCTGAGTGTGTGTGTGGCCGGTAGATGGCACTGATGCTCAGATGCAGCGCTGATTCACAAGAACTGAGAAATGCACCAACTCAGAGAAAAGAAAACAAACTGTCACCCAAAAACAGCAGGACCACACACACACACACACACACACACACACACACACACACTCACATCACATTTCCCTATATTAACACTCATTAATACTTTATTAACGGTACTAGTAATTAGTAATACAAAACAATAACTGCACTAACAGGAAGGCAGTTTTAAAATAAGAGGGCCCACAAAACAGTATGGAACTGAGCTTTTTAAAAATGCACTAAAACAATACACTATATTTTGCTACAAATGCTTATGCTTATAAAATATAAAGGAAATTAAGAATTTATTGAGCTATATATAGTATAAAATACTGCCCCTGTCCAAAGAAAAACATGCATCTCCAAAACAGTAACTTTACAGAAGATGGCAAAAACGTTCTTAACTTGCAACGTAAGTTAACGTAATGTTTTATTCCAAGTGGTTTTGGAGAATTTCTACTGGTCCATTCATCATGAATTTTTCACACAACGTAAAGAACAGCTGCTGTGTTGAAACGATCCCGAAAAATCAAAATAGACAAAAAGGGAGATTCATGTTTTTATTTGGACGGTGACAATTTGTTTGTTCTCTCATTGGGTGAGGAGGTGGGGTTAGGATAGCTTCTTCACGAGCCAACTTTGGCCCACAGACCACACTCTGGGCAGTCCTGCGTTAAAAAACTCTTGAAATGCTATTAAGAGTCATAATGGATTCATTAAAATGACTGTTATTGCTTTGTTGTTACGGCTAACATGCTTTTTCTATGGCCTGTCAGAGGAAGAGAGAGATTGCATACAGACATCCATGTTCTCTCTCACCAACATCCGTCAGCTGAGCTGTGGAAATTTTCCACTACGGCTGGGTGGAGGTGTGTATGCGCATGTGTTTGGGAGTGCTAAAGGAATTCCACACACTGACTGACCAGGAGCTGGAAACCTGAGAGTTACCTGCATAAAATAAAGCCTGTCAGAACACACACACTTTGTGGGGGACCAAATCCCCCAAGTATGATGAAAACAGGAACATTTTGAGGTTGTAATGGACATCTGGCTGCCCTCCACGTAAAAGAAGCCAAATTTGATCTCTTGATTGCTGAGGTTAAGGCTGGGTTAGGTGCGTGTGCGAGGTTAAGGTTAGGGCTGGGTTAGGTGGAGCTCAGGCACATTTACACACACTTATAAACACCACACACACTAGTACATGTGTGCAACAATAGCACTAAGTGTTTTACAGGTGAGTGTGTTAAAGACTGACCATAAGCACGCTTTGTCATTTGAGATTTAGGCAAGCAAGTCTCTCCCTCTCTCTAGCGCTTCCTAGTGGATCTGCTCAAAAGCAACACTGAAAACTATAAGTGGTTAAGTAAGTAGTTAAACCAAGAATGCTGAGTCCTGTTTTTATCCAAATGAAAAACACTTTAACATGTTCTCCTCATTTATCTATTTAGCACACATTTGTCAAATCTCTAATAGTGGGACACATCAGTTTGTCATTTCTGTTGGATTCATTCATCATGTTCATTCAACGTTTCCACAACCTGAACTGTATTAGACTCATTCATTCATGTTTAAGGTCTGCTTTTTCATGTCCGATTCATTCATTCAATCAACCAATCGCTTGTTCATTCAGCAGTTAGGCACCACTCACACTCATTTGTGCACATATACTGTAAAAGTCAGTTGCTGTTTTAACTTAAAGTTAACTTATACTGTAAGAAACCAGGACGCCTTAACATTTTGAGTTCAGTGAACTAATAGTAACAGAACAACAGTCAGTGTGTCGACGTATTATTTAAAGCACATTAAGAGGAACATTTTAAGGCAATCAAGTTACTTTTTTTAAGCTAAAACACCAAGTAATTTCTACAGTGGGCTTACTCTCTCTCTCTCTCTCTCTCTCTCTCTCTCTCTCTTTCTCTCTCTCTCTGACTCAGAAAAATAACTTGTTGTATGAACTTAATTCTATTATGCCACACATTTCCATTCAATCAAACAGAGCAGAGTCAACATTTTGTAACTTCAACATAAACTTGAAACATTCCAGTGCAATTTATTTCAGTTTCACTGGAACGGAATTCAGTTTGACCCAACATAAACAGTTTTCATTCAGTTTTCCAGCACGCACCCCAGCGCTTCTAAATGAAGCAAACAGCCACTTCTGCATACAGAAACGACCAGGAGCACAATGACAATAAAACATCACCACCAACAACAACAACATCAACAACATATAAAACACCACCACCACCAACAACAACAGACTCTAGGGAATCGCGAGGCTGTGCACGCTCCACCAGCTACACGTGGATCCTCCAGATCAGCAAAGTATACAGGTAGCACAACACTCCATTCATACAGAGCACTCTCTCTCTCTGTCTCTCTCTCTCTTCCCATACACCTGTATATTCACATAATCTCCACACTTATATACATAAACACCCATACAAACACAATGATATTCTTATACAACCACACTTATTAGAGCATTATTAGAACCACCAGGATTAAAACCTGATGGTTTGGCTTTCTAATGGGAATTGGATTAATGGTTGCCACTAGACACCACTATTTTCCTGTAGGACCCCTGTACATCCCATTAGGAAACCATCAGGAAAACACAAAATACCATTAGTGACAACTAGACACCACCAGAAACCAAAAGAAACTTTTAATGGTTTCTTTGATTTTTTTGAGCAGAGGTTTCTCGCTACACCTACCCCCCCCCCTTCCCCGACTCCCGAATCCCGAATCCGGTAAGGTGAAGAGCTCGTGCACTCACGTTGCCCACTCGTGAGAGGTCCCGCGCTCTCTCCTTGGGGTCGCTAAATTCATTTGTATTCATTTGTCCCGCCGCTCCAAACCCTGAGCCGTTACCGTCCGCGTGCCCGCGAGCGCCAGCCGTCGTCCTCTCTCTCGCGCATCGGTTTGAGCCGCGCGCGAGCGATCCCGGGTGTGTGTGGTGGTGGTAGTGGTGGGTGGTGGGTGGAGGGTGGGGGGTGCGCTACCGGTCCGCCCAGCGAGAGCACCGTAAATCCGAGAGCGACGCTACGCCAGCGAGTGTGTATGTTGTGTCCCGCACCATGAACGGCGCTGCGCGAGGCTTCGCTCCCGGAGGCGCGAGCGCAGCAGATTCAAGGCCGGTAAACACACATCCTTTAAAGAGACGCGTGGTGGTGGTGGTGGGGGGGCCACATACCGCCCACCACAATCACACACCGCCCACCGGGGAGGAGCAGACAGTAATGTCACGAGCGTAACACTCAGACCGGCTTTAGATGTGAAAGCACACATAAAGCGAACACATAACAATCAGTCAACGTTATACATTAGTTGCTCATAATTCAATAAGAGTTGCTCTTATTCCAGTAAGAGGTGTTCACAGTGGTGGTGATAGGAACCAGACGTCCACCTCTAAAAGCTCCCTCACAAAAAGTTACTACATGGAACGGTTATGAATACACTGCCTGATGCCTGAGACACTGTTCTACCTTAGTTGTGGGAAAAACAATAATTATGAGAATTATGTTATAATTCATTTGATACACTCAAGGCTGAAGGGACGTGTGAAGAGTGTTGTGGGGCAAAATAGTCCTCAAAGTAAACTTTTTTCAGATTTATGACTATTTCACCATCATCTACATTCCATATAAACTCAGAAGACTCGTGTAGGTTCACTGGTGGTTTTGATAGTAAATAAAATGTCTATATTTGTGTTGTAGTCATGGCGACCCCTGGTTCCTATCACCACCACTGTAAACAAATCTGAACCATTTCACACCAAACCACTCTGAACGACTCTGTTTACATCTCAAGGACTGAATTATTCAGAAATTTTAAAAAACTGGTGGAATTCTCCTTCAAATCAGTTGCTGTATGTTAGCAGGTTGGAAAAAAAACAGAAATGGCTGTTCTCGATGATGCTCCTTAGATATGACTGATGATGATAAAAAAAGAGTTGAAATTTTAGCTCAGAGATCTGCGTTACCGTTATGTTGACGAGAACAGCCGCAGTCACAGAATGTTATCTGTAATGCAACCAGCTGCCCCGTTTTCGTGCACTTAAGACGGTACTCAGTTCAGCTCTTTTCTGACGTTCCCTAGTGATGAGGAGTCGATTGCAAAAGAATCGATTCTTCGATTCCAGCACGTCTAGGGTTTGGGCTCGACTCTTCGCATACGACTCTATAAGAGTCGACTCTTCACTCTGATTTTCATCGTAATTAGCCCGAGAATTAATGCAGGAGAGAGTCCGAGTTTGTTTAATTAACAGCATCAAATGAAGACACAAATTCTGCTCACAGAAACGTTTTCGATCCGTCCCGCGCCGCACCTCTCCAGTTTCTTCATGATCTGGGTTACAGTAAACAGTCATTAGAAACCGAACAAGGAACCAAAACCAAAAACAATGTTTCTCACAGAGTGCTGTGAAAAAGAGGATGAAGCTGAGATTTGCTCCTTAACTGCCAGCTTATTATTCACATTTCCGTTCCACCTTAAATGGTGCTGCAGTTACATTCTGGCGCCGGCGCACCATTAAAGTAACTGCTGCATCATTTAAGGTGGACTGGGAAAGTCTAATAAGTAGCTGGCAAATGTGAAGCCAACTTCAGAGTGAGACATCTAACTGGTTCCTTTTCAAAAAATTCTGAATACAGTAACGATGTTCTCAGTAACGTTAGTTACATCGCTCCGAGTTTCCCCTCAATATGTGAAATAAGATGAATGTTCATTTTAGCGCTGCAACCTGTAGCGTTAGCTACTCTAAAACTGGGTAAACTACGTTTAGGACGGTTTAATCTCAGTTGTGTCCCTTTATCTCAGACTTAGGAGCTGTAGCTATCGTTACTGATTAAAATAAAGTGGACTCGATTCGTGTGCCGCTAACGTAACTAGCTATCATCTGATTTATTAACCGACACAAGCTAACACCCTAATTTAGCTTAGCTAGTTAGCTAGCGTTAGCTGTTAGCATTACAACTAACCTAATTTTACCACTTGAATAATTTCATTAAATAATCTGGGTTGCCAATTCGCCTTAAATCACGTTACTCAAACGAGAAATCAGGAAATTACAGGCAGTTTGAACTGATCTTATCATGAAACTCTGCTAGCCTGTCTGGCTAAATTCACTGGGAACTTCTTGACATGAGCTGAAACTGATTTTAGCTCACGCTGATAAAAAACAGTAAGGATATTATTCAAAGTCTTAATATGTTCCAAGACTAACATTTTGAGAATAACAACTGCAATAACCAAACTTTTTCCCTCAGCTGTAGCTAAGTTAGCGGTTCCGCTAACAGTTGCGCACAGCCGTTAATTTTCCGTTGAAGTTTGAATTTCAAAAATCTGCGCGGGTTACAGCAGCGTACGGAGCCCCGGAGGGGACGGAGGTAAAAAACAATTAAATTCGAGTGAACGTTTTGCAGTCCGTACGCACGTTTTCTCTTATTCGTAGTCACGATTTCTTAAATCGTTCCCTCGTTTTCTTTTAATCGTGTGCACGTTTTATTTACTTCGTGGGTACGTTTTTTTATTTTTTCATTCTCACGATTTTCTAATTTTCTTTTTTTCTTTTAACCGTGGTCATGTTTTATTTTTAACTGAAGGCACATTGTTTGTATTGTGATAACAGCTCCCTGAGACCGTCTGACGGGTTTTGATGTGTTAGAGTGATGAGATGATGAACAGAGATGCTCATCAGGTCTGATTCTGATTTGGGGGGGTTATGAGGAAACTGCAGCTCCTCTTCACAGCAAACGGCCCACAGTGTTTCTGCTCCCGGTCAAACTGCGGTGTTGGAGACCATCACACAATTACAGGACGAAATTATCAGCGTTTCAACATCCTCACATTAATATATCAACATCTGATCCATAGATCTATTAAACTCTCTTGCCATTTGACCTCATCCCACATGCACACGTTTCTGTGTGTGTTTAATTTTAGTTTGTCGAAACGTTGACGCTGATCATTTCTTCCTGTAATTGTGTGATGATCTCTAACACCGCAGCTTGTTGGGGAGCAGAAACAGCGCTAAGCGGCCGCGCTGCATCTCTGTCTCTGTTAAATATGATCATTAGAAACTGAAGTTTAGTGAAGATTGTGGTTGTAGTTTGTTGTCTTCCTTCATTTCACCAGGGAGGGAGCTTTTAGAGGGGGCTTTTTAGCTTTATGGACATCTGGTTCCTATCACCACCACTGTGAACAATTCTGAGTCTGTAAGTTTCTCTAGAACGGAGCGTTTCACACCAAACCACTCTGAATGACTCTGTTTACATCTTAACAGTTGATTTGTGGAGAAACTGAAAAAAAAATGGCGGAATTGCACTTTAACTATCATTAGGATAAAGTCCCAAAAACTCAAGTACCATAGATAGCTCTCCATAATTCAGTTATAACCCTTCATATCTCAGAGCTGAACATAAAAATGATACTTATTTTTCCATCACATAGTTTTCTGTTTTTGGTGTGTAGTTAAATTACTATTCAGAAACTAAGACAAGGATGAGTTCACTTTCTAGAGATTTTGTTGGATAATTATTCAGTATTTCCTTTTTTGCTTTATTATTTTTGTTAAACCTCCTTTTTATGTAGAAGTATATGTCGATGTACAGTAGTACTACATGGACATTCATTCATTGTGTGAAAACTCCACAGTGATGATGCTGATGTGACTGAAATTAATGGACAGTATGAGGTTGATGTGATGGGAATAAAAGGATGAGATTTTGGAAATCTGTACAGCGGAATTACAGGGAAAAGATCACATTTGTGTATATACCCCTGTGAACAAGTCTCATTTTGTTGACCTGGGTTATTTCTCTAATTCTGAGTGTAATTATTTCTCTCAATGGTGTGTTCAGTATGTAAAGGGGTGGACAGAGCAGGAAAAAGTGACTTAAATGACTTTAAACGACTCGGTACAGAGCCACTCCTTTCATTACGGGCTCTTTTAGCAACTTAAACGTGCGCTCGAGCTGCGCAATTTTCCACGGAAGGTTAGCAGCATGAATTTGGCCACTGAATTTGGATTCAGATCTTAATACGCCACGACTAAACAGCCACATCCGGGCTAAACAGGCCCTGACCTCTTAATGGACATGTTTTATATATAACTTACACAGAGCTCATTTCATGAGGAATATATGTGATACTGCCTGAGAGTAGAAAATGTGTTTTCATGTCCTTATTCATGATGGTATACAAACACTGTCATGCTACACTAAACCTGACCCTAACCTTAACGTCAGTTTCCAAAAGCTAAGCTTTGGCCCATTTTACTTCTTCTAAACTTGTAAAGAATGTTTTTCTTTGTGCAAAATGTAATAAAAATGGTGCTCAACAGTCCTCAAAATGATCATAATCCTGGACACATGTGGACCTCACAAAGAGCTAAATATACACACACACACTGTGTCCATTGTCCAAGCTTTGAAATCACCCTGAATGGATATCATAATACACTTTTCTTCCATATCATCACATATTTGTAAATGTAACTCAGGGAGGGTCTCTGAACTAGCTGGGCCTTTTCTCTCCATGATAGGTGGGGGTGGTAGGAGGGTAAGGTGAAACATGATATTATTAATATTATTTACATAGACATCAGGAGACATTTAAGACATTTTGATGTCTTAAAAATCTCAGTACTTAAAAATCTCAACTGCAGGTTTGATTACAAAGAGAGCATATTTAGTCGTGTTTGACTGGATTTAGTGCAGCACAGTGTGTGAAATGTTCAATACAAATAATTGGATTAATAGTTTTTGATAGTATTTTTAAAATGTGCCTCTACTTTGTTTGTTCTAACTTATCAGATGTATCAAATATTGTGACATATTGTGTATCGTAAAAATCTTCTTGAAGTATCGCAATGTTACATATTGCCAACTTCTAGCTTAATATGACCAGAGACATGAACTAACAAGGTAATGAAGGTCAGGCTGACTTTAATTGGGTCAACTAAAACAGAC